GGTATGGGTCAAAAGTCGGTAGTCTCAATCCCGGGATTGTTGACTTCCTAGCCGTTTCACTGGGGCGTGCCATTTTGTCATGTATTCCTGTGTGGGACTGACCATTCCAATTATTTAATTAGGTTCTCTGAATCTGGTGTTGGCACAGCCCAAAATGGGATGAAATACTGCTAGAATGGACCAGAACGTATGAACACATACCAAAACTATCCAAATGCAGGGCCTGCAATGAACCGACATCCTGGCAGCATCAGCCCGCGCATTGGTCTCACAGTGCAGAACTTAAGTTGCCGAGCAACTGTGATTGGAAGGGTTTCGCCGGTTTCAATGACTGCGTGCATGGCCTGGCTCATGGCCAGCAAATGGGGGGCAGGGGAACCAACCATTGGCTGGTCATCCTGGGCATGTCTCCCAAATTCGGAGCAATTATACTTTGATGGTCTGACAGAAAAGTCATGCGGCTCATGACCATCTCCAATAAACGACTATCACCAAAACATTCAAAAACTGCACTACGCCTGAGCTGTTAGCAGGATGTGACATTCCTCCTTGATGGCTCAAAAAATTGACCCATTCACACACTGTCAAGCAGAATGGCCCAGCCGAGCAATTCAAAAATATAACGCTCTTTTGGGACGCCAATCTTTCCAGGGTGGTGATGGATTACCCCAAAAACATCAAAGTGAAGCTCCCTTTCAAGGTTGCCTTCAAAAGCCCTCCAACTTTACGTAACATCATAAACCCTCCAACTTTATATAGTCATCATGAACCGTAGATATTAAATAAATGGTCCCAAAATGTCCTAAATACATCTAAATACCTATAATTCCCCTACCAAACCATGGTTTCCGGGTCGTGTTTGAGGCAACTATGGGGCATCTCTTTGCACCCTACCACTAGGCTTTATGATGCTATATGTCCACATTCTCTATGTCCCAAGCTGTCCCACGGTCACACATTACGTATTAAAATCCCAATCAGACACCATCTTCATCCCACAGGCTGTGGTTCCCCCTCGCCTTGATGAAGCGAGTGAGACCCTTTTTGGATTGTTTCCTTAGGCAACCCGGGCGCCCCTGCGAAGACCGGTTGATGACCAACAAACCATGCTTCAAATAGTGGAGTTAAATGGAGTTAACATGTTTTAACAAACAAATACCTGCGTAGTGTAAAACCCATTGTGATGGCACAACTGTATAACATCCATGTAGCCCTCAAAGAAACTCAGTTTAGTGGTCACCAGTCAGTTGACTCAGACAAAAATAAGAAGCCGCTATGCTATGCCAACTGGCATCATGGTCCCAACTGAACCATGAAACATGCGAATGGCAACATAACACGGAAATCAAAGCTTAATAAACCAACGCATCAAACACCCAGTGGCATTCTCGGAGGGGGGTCACAAAAGGGTCACCTTTGGCTGGGACGAGGTGATTCCATCGCTGATTGCCCTTCAACCATTCCAGATCATTCGTCAGTCAATTAATCTGGTTGGTGCTGAAAAATATTAGTCACTTGGGATGAATCTCCCAATAATTAGATGGAAAAATAAAAAATGTTCCAAACCACCAATCAGATAAATATAATTAATCCAGCGATGGGCACTGCAACCAAGGTGAAACAACCGCTAATCTCATGGCCTTCTAATCTCATGGCTAGCCTTGGATGACCTGGGGGTTCACATGAAAGGTACTTCATATATGATCCGGGAATTGGATTATAATTGCAATTCACAATGATTCTATATACAAATATCCATCAAACGGATACATATAGATTAAGGGACAACCTTTTGGGGGATTCAATGAGCAAAGATATTGTCATGGCTTCAGGGACAACCTACAATTATAGACCTTAGTAGACCCACACCTTCCCATTGACATGGACAACTTCCAACTTCCTCCAAAATTGGCCCAGCATCGATGAATCACCGAAAGCCTCTGTGAACAATTTCCAACGGTCCTGGTTTACCCTGGACCTCAGCCACAATGATCCGAAAAAAACGGTCAACTTATAAAGAATTTCAGGAAATCGATGATCAGTCTCACGCATTTTCTTGGGGCATGTTGGTTTTCTCAACATTGGAAAACTCACCGAAAAAATCGGGAATGCATACATCTGTATAAGTATATGTACAGTATATATGGTATATGTATATATGCTGGGAATGGGCCATGAAATGAAACAAAATAAAGATTCTACTTGGGATGCAAGCTGCACAAAAAGGGAATCCAGCAACTCATTCTGGTAGAAGATCCAGGGGAAACCCACGAAAGAACATTAATGGTTCACTTAGCAAACATTAACTTGTCACGGAAGTACCTGATCCTCGTACGTTTATCAATTGCACGGTTTTACACTACCCAAGCTACAATAAATGCATACAACGTGGTGCCCCCCTCAGTTATAATTTTGTTCATAACCCCATTGACATATAGATATGTTTCCACCAGAATTCCAACAGTTAACCTACTTGCAAACCAAGTTAGCTAACAAACTGGGGCAATATCTTGTGGAAACTGTTGTTCCTTCTTGGGTTTACAGCAGAGCTGCCTCCCTAACCTGTTCAGTATCTGTTTGCCACCAACGATCCGTCTTTTCTTCACACGCTGTCACTGCGGGCCCTGTGGCCACACCCAGGGCCGTGGCCACTCCCTGGGGCCGACACATCCCTCGAAGTTTGAGGGGCATAAATGATGACCAAACAAACGGAGACAAGAGGCAACGTGATCATGGGTCTCTGTCAGCACCATCCGATACGCAAACACAACAGGAAAGTCCATCATCGATAGATATGGATAGAACGTATTTACCGATTGAAATTTTCGGACTTCCTATTACCAAGTCATAAAAGAATTTCAGAGACAGGCGGCGCAAAGTGATGCCCCAAATTGTCCTACAGTTTGCAAGATGCTTTTTGAATCTGTATAACTAGGACGATTTAGGTTTAGGACGGATACATCCAAAAAATATCATAAACACATATTTAAATATATATGTGTATTAAATATATATATATTATAATATCATATCTGTAGTTGGATGGCCTCTAAAATTGCTCACTGACAAACACCAATGGGAGGCATCACACTACTGATCCAATCATCTCATCGCTCCACCAACTCCTGCGGGGCATCGAGCGGGCCTTCACCGTGACAGTGGGGATCATCTGAGGGATAGAAAAAAACTCAACTAATGAAAAAACTCAACTAATGGTGGTTTTATGGTGGTTTTATGGGATTTAAATGGGATTCAAATGGGACCGTAGTGGGTTATAACCAGCTACTAACTATATCTAACTATTATTGGGATTCATGTGGGTAAAACAATGCCATAAACCACCCATGATTGGAAATGGATGGGAATGGTTTATACCACCAGACATGGTGATGACTGGGGGATGGTTCATGGTATGGTTTTACCCACATTAGTTCAAACCACCAAACAAAAGATATAGATCTGCTGCTCCATGGGTAGTATTGGCAACGACCCCCAACCAGCTGCAAGTCGTTTTTTTTCGTCGGCAAGTGGTCCAGTGCTTGCAACATGCGTCGTGCATGTGGTCGGGGTACATCACCTGGCTGTTCCCGGAAGAAGGATGGCGGAAAAAGACATTTCTGGAGAAGAAACCTACTAGTACATTAGGGATATGTAATCACTACTGTTGAAAAGAACACATATTTAATCATCCCGAACCAATGATGGCAAGGAAGATAACACACACATTGATCCGCTCACCAAGATGTTTACCCCTGGATCTTCACACATGGTGAGTTTCACCACCAGCTCGGTTACAGCATTCACCGGAGCCGTGGGTAATGCCAAACACAAACATGTATGTTTGCCTAAACATATGGGGATGGGTCAAAACCCTGGTACCGTGCCGTGAACCCCAAAATAGCTGGTAAATGGATGTGAATAACCCACTAAAAATGTATCTACAGGTATTGACCCATACCCATATGGCACCCCTTTGTAAAAGCATGTAAATCCATCTGTCAATCATGAATGATTATCCCCACCAAACTTGCCATTTTGGGATACTTTGGGGGTGGTATACCCATTTTCAGATATACACACGCGCGTGCAGCCAACAATTGGCAGTGCCAAAATGGCATAGCATCTGCATTTCCCATAGAAAAAAACATATTTCCCCCTGGCAATGAAACCCAAGGGCATGCAGCTCAGTAGCAGGCCAAATCAGCACCAATTCGGGCATTGGCCTCTGGAAGCGATGAAAGTCTTGTGGCGTGGAGATTTGTACAAGGTGGCGACACATAATTGACCAACTTTATAAGTAAGTTAACTGTTAACTGGGATTTCTATAGATTTCTGGAAGATATGGCGAAGTAGCCATGGGGTAATGGTGATCTACACACATTTTTTTACTGTGGGGCACCACCTTGTAAGTTGACCATAAATGCAAACACACCAAAATTGATAGATTTAAGGGTACCCCTAATTTAGGAAACCTCCATCTGGCGAAGGTAGCCAATGGGGGTAATGGTGATCTATACGCACCAAATTGTTGCTGGGGGGGGCACCACCTTGTAAGTTTGGAACTTGACATATTTTCCTCGTTCAACCTCCGGAATGCTGAACCAATGACTAGTGCGGATTGATGCTGTGAGAGCTCAGGATGCATAACCATCACAACCATGAAAGAGACTACGGTGACATATCATGACTGCCACTTCGCCATTTGATTGACCTCTTCTCCCCATGATTCAACATCCCCTCGGAAAAACAACATGTTTTTCCAGTGGAACCACAATGGAGTGAGGCACCACCCGAGCCACAGCTGATTGAAAAGGTGTCTGGATTTTTTCATGGTAGGCACGGGGAAAAAACATGAGAATTTTAGGTACCTGATGCCTGCAAAAAAATAGCAACTAGTTTTTAGCTGGTTAGTACATTTGACTAATTATTGATAGCCAACAAAAATATAAAGTAAAAAAGTACCGAACCAAGGCTGATCCAGAAAACTAGCATAACTTATGTCATGTTGCTATCGGGGGGTGGCTCCCCGGGCCCGGCGCAAAGGGGCCCTGAATTCGTGGCGCCTCCATGATGCACATCTCTCCGTCGCTCGGGCGGATCTTGTAGTTGAAATTGATGAAACCAGAATAGCCTCAGCGGACATGGCCACCCCGTGATGCCACTGGTTGTTGTCCGGTCAACTGATGGTACAAATGACATGTTGGAGGATACAGTGAAACAGAAAATATAGGAGATCAATTGCCGGTATATGTGGAGATATATCAAAGAAAAAACAGTACTACTGTAACACATGGTAGCACATTTATTGAAAGAAACAACTGCGAAACACCCGACAGGAAAAAAAGAATCATGGTTGCTGAATTCTGAATGGGATCTGATGCCTGTCTCAGGTGAACCTCTCTATGGCATGTTGGTTATATAGGTATGTAAGTTGCAGCAACTCTCAAAATTTCGTCAATAACCCGATAATACCCGATAGATAATCCATATATTAACCCATGAAACATATGCCAATGGGGTACTAATTGATTCAGCAAAATCTTATTTTTGCTCTCTTTCTCTCTCTCTCTCTCTCTCCATATCTTTGAAAATCTTAATATTTATTCCAAATCCGCCGGCCTGCCGGCGTGTCTGATGGCAAGGTGTTGTTCCTGTTTCTGGTCTTGGCTTGTACTTGTTCCTCCTACTCCCACTTCTACTCCCACTCCTTCTCTTACTCCTACGCCTACTGACACTCCTTCCTTCTTCCCAAAGTACTAAACCGGTAGTGCTGGTAGCTCCGCGAACAGTCCTCTACCGATACTAGTCACAGGACGTACACGGTACTAAACCAAGAGGTTGCGAAAGTAAGCATCTACAGCTCTGTCTTCGTCTCGCCTTCTAATTTGTTTTCTTCTTTTTCTTCCTCTTCCTCTTCCCTTCCCTTCTCTTCCGCTCTCTTCTGCTTCTCTCTCCGGCTCGACCTAGGAGTGCGGATCAAGCATTATCCCATTGCATGTTTAATGAATATTAATTTGGATAGTCATGGATAGTCCATATTGATCCACTAAACATCTACTGATGACATCAACAACTACTCCCGTCTCGGCCCGTCTCGGCCCGTCTCGGCCCGTTTCGGCCGCCGCGACGCCTCGAACCAATCGTCGCATCACGTCCAGCTGCTCCTCCGTAGGCTCCTCCGGTGGGCCTCGGAGCTCTTTGCCCAGCTCAGTGACGCGGGGCCAAACGTACCTCGGGGCCAAACACCAGGGGAAAGCACCAGGGGAAAGCACGGGAGTTTAACGGAGGTTTAGATTCAAAAACAACTAGAACCTTGGGGAAATCAACTATCTGTGATATTTAAACTCAAAGTGACTTGAATTCACTCAACCAATAGAAACATGTCATGTTTAGTGCAGCAAATCCAAATGCATGAACATAAAGTCTGAGCATGAAGAAGGGCATCTTTAACTGATTCAACATGAGAACTTACACTGTAGATTGAACAGTCACGCCGAAAGAATGCCGAGAAAATGTATATGGATCATGGGAATTTCATGACAATGGGGACCCAAGAAACAAACACATAATTTAATGAACTCGCCTACTCACCGAGGCTTCCACAGCATGGGATTGACATGAGATAAACAGAAACAGGGTGGCTGAACAAAATTGGGAACGTACATGGATGGACTGATCAACTAATGCAGGCTTCACACATGTGCAATCATATATATATACGAGCATCATCGAATATCTGAAGGTTCTAACATACTTTGAGTCTTAAGGTGATTCTCTTCAATCTTGCTGTACACCAAGGGATCTTAAACATGGCGCCAGAATGATGCCAGAAAAAACTGGAGCCGTGGATTCCCTCAATTCCATCATCTGGAACATGTTGGTGTTTTCACCCTACCGGATGGATATAAATTCATAATAGAATGTAATATTTGAATTTGGTTCAAAGGTAATAAAGCCATTTGGCCCCATTTGGCCCTAGCTACAAAAGAACCATCCCAAAACACCAAGGGACAATCCAGTACCCAAGTCATCCAACTTGACCTTTTTGGGGCATTGAAATCAACCAAAAAAACGGTGGCTTTACCACAATGATGTGGGGATGAGTCAAGAATTAAGCCCTGTGGGTCCATAGATTTTAGTTCATTTTAAAATTCTATGTTTATGAACTATCTATAGTATCATCTAGCTTTGGCGGGTACCTAGGATCTATAGCCATTTGCCGATCATTTGCCTCACCAGGCCCAGCCGAAGTGCTCGTCTGCATCGTACTCATAACGCATACATGCCTCAGCCAGGCCATTGCCCCGTCGATGGAGGCTACAGCTTCACAGAACACCCAGATGTCCCTTCCCCTTAATTCATAAATACCATCCCAGAAATACCCAAAAAGCATGGTTTAGAGTTGTAGATCTTTATTTTCTAGGTCAGAAAAAATGTCTTGATGGAATCAGGGGTTTTTTTCCGTGGCAACGAGATGCCACTTCCAGTATTTCACCCTCGCAGACCAACAAGGACGTGGAATACTCGTAGCAACCTGCACAAAACGGTCAAACGGTGCAGGGTTTGGAGAAAATCTCGCAGAGCAAGGAGGTGCCCCAGTTATAAGTTGCTTTGTAGTCACCATGAACTGTTATATCTGCCATAAACCATGAGCTAAGCCAACTAAAAGATATAAATTAATGTATCACACAGCAACAAGTTATTGGAGTTAACCAACTTAGCCAACTATGCGACACAAAAAGTGTGTTTATTTTATTTGTTTAAAGTGTGTTTTTTTTTCAGTCCCCTTGTTCTCGTTTTTCATGTTTGCTTAAATGGATGATTATCATACCCATGACGGATCCATGGTGCTGGTGACCTGGGACGGGAGGATCATCCAAAGTTGGACGTGCCGGAATGGTGAACGCACCAAGGTCCATGATGGGCAGATCTTGTGCCAACTTAAAGGAACAGCATGTTGCATAACCCATAGGATCCATGGTGCTGCTATATATGGTAACATGGATCCCATCAATATACCCCCAATGTTAGCATATATACCATACATGGATCCTATGGGTAATACTTTACACAAAAATCGCGGTGAAGTCATGTTAAATCCTCCAAGATATAACATGGGCGTCCAAAATATAGCAAAATAAATCAGGTGTCAAAACATCCAATGGTTTATGACCATCTTCCCCAAACAATGAAACATGAACCAGCCAGAATACGCAGGTGTTTCCCAAAATGGGGGATTCTAAAGTCATCCAAATGGGATACGTGTTAACATTGACACATATTGACCCCCACGAAGAGCATGGGGGTCCTCCTAGGAACCAAAAAGACGTTTTACATATATTCGAAGTGATTTTTTTTAAGAACTTTTTTGGGCAATCATCTCACCTGTGGTTTGGCTAAAGGTTGTTTTGGACAAGTTCAATGGTTGTCAAAGTGGACGTTGTTTGGACAACCCACCGTTGGTTTATCATATTACCATCATATTACCATCATCTCACCGTGGATTTGTTTCCAACATCCCATGGTCGCATCCCCACCTGTGACCATCTCCTGTAGGAGCCAACGGCTCGACAAGACCTGGCACCCAACAAGGTGGTGCCCCGGAATCGCGAACAGTTTGCGAACTGTTTGCGAACTGGAACATGGATGAACATGGCGCATTTATAAGTGATTTACCTATTGAAATGGTGATTGTCCATTATGTTAGTTTACCACAGGGTATGCCTGATTATAACATGAATAAACACAATGTTATAGCTGGATATAACTGGATATAATTTGGGGGGCATCACCTAAGGTACCTTGTCGGACCTTGTTGGCTTGGCGAAGCCAGCAGTTTTGCTGACACATCATTTTCGAAATTTGGACCGCATAATGAATAATGGGTCCAAATGCAATATTTGTCAAATGCAAAAACATCCATAAACATGTCCGAATGCTGGGTATATAACCCCTTTCTCCTAACATTGAAGCCCTCCAAGAAATCCTAGTTTGAGATTGCATGTGTCCATGTTGGTTCAAATAATGGGTCTTCAATATAATGAAATCCCCGATGGATGGAACTCTTAGGGTCTACAGCCCCCATTCCAGCCAATATGCTGGCTGAAAGGGTAGGTACCAAGACTGAAAGCCATGGGCTGGAAACATGACCCCAACCCCAAAAATATAGCCAAAGTAGGAAAAGTACTAGTATGTTCCCGTGGCTGAAAACTAGGGGATGTGAGGTTGCCTTGCATCTTACAACTTACATGTTTCAAGTGGCTGAAATCATAGGCACCGGATTTATTGCGCAATGGCTGGAGACTTGGGATTCACCTCTTGGTTGATGTGTCTGTTTTCCCAATGTTGTTGATCTCCGTTGGTGCAGCATTTTAGACAGGCTCCGGGGTTTTTAGCCCCAAATGGGGGCTAAAATCCTTCAATAAAAATCGTGTCTGAGGTACAAACTGCAACAACTGAAAACCAGTGCCTGACATTTCTGGCATTCCAGAGTGGAACTCATGAAACTCAGGCCCCGGGTTTTCACCTTGTGCTATTTCATGTTCATGAAACTCAGGCCCCTGGTTTTCATCCTGTGCAAACACTTCAATAATTGATAATATTTCATATTCATGACACTCAGGCTCCAAGTTTTCAACCTGTGCAAGCACTTCACTATTTCATTTTCATGCATTTTCATGAAACTCAGGCCCCAGGTTTTCAGCCTGTGCAAGAATGTCATCATGAAAATTTTCATTAATTTTCATGATTCTCAGTCTCATGTTTTCAGCCTGTGCATGCACCTCACTGCTTAATTTTCATGAATCTCAGGCCCCGGTTTTCAGCCACTGTGAGCAATTTCTACCTTCATTCTCTCCTATCCCTTAACACCTAGGACTTCATCTCTTTCCACCGCTTCATTTACCGGAACAGCTCTCCAAGTTACAGCGCGCACTTCCGCAAATCTCTCCTAAACCCATGTCCCAAGAAAAACAACACAAAACCTGAGACCCCGAGATTTCATCTCACACATCCCTGTTTTGAACTCTGCCAGAACAGCTCTCCAAGTTACAGCGCGCACTTCCGCAAATCTGTCCTAAACCCATGTCCCAAGAAAAGCACCACAAAACCCCGGACCCTTAAATTTCATCTCACACATCCCTGTTTTGAACTCTGCAGGTTACAGCGCGCATTTCCGCAAATCTGTCCTAAACCAATGTCCAAAGAAAACCCGCAAAACCTCAGACCCCAAGATTTCATCTCACACATCCCTGTTTTGAACTCTGCCGGAACAGCTCTCCAGGTTACAGCGCGCATTTCCGCAAATCTGTCCTAAACCAATGTCCCAAGAAAAAACACAAAACCTCAGACCCCAAGATTTCATCTCACACATCCCTGTTTTGAACTCTGCCGGAACAGCTCTCCAAGTTACACCGCGGATTATCAGCCTTGAATATCATGCCTGCAGGAATCATACACAACCACTCATTTCTGCAAAGCCATCCACTATGGCCCAAAAAGACAAAGGGATAAACATAGGGATCCATGTGTTCAGGCCATGTCTTTTGATGTCTTTTGATGTCTTTCCATGTACTCAAATATATTCAAAAGATGCAAGTATATTCATATATATATATTCAAATATACTATCTACAAATCCCGTTGCACATCTAGCAAATGCGAGAGAGAGGTGCTGGAGGCAACATCGGACCAAAGTTAAAACAGCAAGACCCGGAGAATAAAAACTGTACTGAGGTTTCAGGGTTTATGCCGTGAGCACTTCAAGTTCCCGTAACCAAAATTATATTTGTAGATGAAAACCTGTGAACTGAAGTTCCCCTGGATAGCTGCTGAATTCTTTGGAAAAAAATGTTTCTGGATAAAAACCAGTGACCTCAGCCTTTCGCTAACTCTCATGTTGAAAATCCAACTTTTGCTGAAACCCCTGAGTTTGACGTTTGGCAAAGTTCTTCAAAAAAAAACCCTTATTGGATGAATACCGGCGCTTGAGGGTTTTTCACCAGGTCCTGAAAACCCATGTGTAACGTTTTGGAGTGCAGGCCAAAGCCATCTGTGGGCTAAAACCAGGCGCTCCAGCCCTAGGCTTTTAGCCCTTGTGCCCCAACCCCTATGTTGTTGGATGAAAACTATGGATCTGAGGTCAGCATAGAAATATATGGAATCGAGTAGAGCTGTGGCTGAAAACTGTGGAACCAAGGTAACATGAACACATGCTCAACTGCATCCTGAAACTCTATTTCTCAGAAATGATGCTATCTGGGGCTTGGCTGAAAACCATGGGTACAAGTGTCAGGTAACAGTTGCAGCTGGCTAAATTTTTGAGGTAGAGCTCCCCCCTTTTCAGCCAGGACCACCAGACGGGGATTAATGAAGTTAATTAAAATAATTATGTTATATCATGTTTCATTTCAATCTGGAACAGGTCAACAAGCCCAACATGTTGCTCCAGTCGTAGGGCCATGGGATGACCAAAAAAAATGTGAGATTCAAAAAACCATACAAAAATTGACCTCCTCCGGGAAAAAAAAACATGCACATATCATTACGATTGCCCTCCGGCAAGCAACTACGCAGCAAATTGACAATCAAATAAACGTATGTACAATGAGTCGCCCTAACCTCAGTGATAGCTGGGTTGGCTCACCCCCTCACCCCATGACTGTAGATGATCCTAGTGATTGGGGCGTAGCCCCATCTACATAAGTGGAAGGAGCTTCCCCCAAATCCCCTGAAACAGAACTGAAACACCGGAATGCATCCCCAGCAGGAAGACATCTTTCGACCCATCCAGGGGCTTCTGCGGATTGATATTTTTCATCTCAACGGTAGGCGGTTGATTTGTCTCTATAAGTGGTCACCGAGGGCGTCCACAAACAGACACTTGGGACCCCGGGCCAAAGGCAATCAAGCTTCAAAGCCATGCAAAAGTTCGGGATTGTTCCATCATATAGCCTAGCTACAGATATTTAGATGTAGGTGCAGAATGATGCAGATGTAGGTATAAAGTCTAACACGTAAAGACCGTATAGATATATATATATAGATACCAAAGGCCCAGGGGCCCGAGTCCCAAGTTGAGTTCATCCTGGCCAAGTCGTCTCACACGGTCGCAGCAATTGCAAGTGGAGCTGTTCCTTGTTCTCAGTCAATCAGTTTCAGTTGACGACCAAACACCCTCAGGGGTTCATAGACACCATTAGATAAACCTACCATAAACCCTAATTATATTTGTTGTTGCCAAGTTTTCCAACTATGGGGCACCACACTTGTGAAACCAGGCCAGTTAGGGTCCATTTCGATACAGTAATCGCGTTGGATCGTAATGAATCCTTGCAACCAGGACCGACGAATGTCTCTTACGTTGCAGACGTTGCGGCCGCAAAGGTGACCCCTGATAGTGGCGGTAAAACTGTTTTTTTGGTGGATGTGGCGGCTAATGAAGCCTCAACAAACACTTATTATTTGGGTTTACCTAACTGGGGTAAACCCCAATTTTTTTGCTGACCCTTGGTTTGTGCTTTCTGCAAGGTACCAGCTCGAAACTTGCAGGGAACCGGCTGCGAACGCGGTCTACTGACCAACTGAGGAACCCGACTGTCAGTGGGCTACTGGCTGGGGTGCGTTCCAGTTAGTGGGCAACAACGATTATCATACGCCCGTCATATACGGAATATCCTCAATTAAATGGGCTATAAATACATTTGTGAACAACTAACTGTGACCAAGCACCACTTGACGTTCTTCGAACAAAAAGTTTGCACTTTGCTTCACCTGCGATGCTGAGAGCAAAATCGTTTAAGGATCTTATAGTTAGCAGTGCGTACGTCCGTTTGCATAATTCAGAAAACTGCGTCACACCCATCTGCAGGTGGCGGCTTCCAGAATCTGATCAATCTTCTACGGTTTATTGTTTAGTGACAACAGCCCAGAAGGACAATAATCTGGGATTGACTCGCTTGGATAACTTGGAGCCGCAAATGATTTGAGGTTTACCTCTGCTTTGCGCCGACTTTGCGCAGTGGAAAACTCTCTCAGTTCGGAGGTGCGCCCAAACACTGAATTTCCGCCCTTTTGTGCTGACACGCAGAATGTTTGTGCGCGCAAATGATTTATATATATAATATAAATATATATATATATAAATAGTATATATATATATGTATATATATGAAAATATATCTATTTGATTATTTTTGTAAATATAGGATAGGATAGGATATAGGATAGGATATAGAATAGGATATAGGATAGGATATAGGATAGGATATAGGAAAAGATATAGGCTAGGATATAGGATAGGATATAGGATAGGAAATAGGAAAGGATACACGATAGGATATAGAATAGGATATAGGATAGGATATAGGGCAGGATCTAGGATAGGATATAGGCTAGGATTTAGGAAAGGATATAGGACAGGATATAGGATAAGATATAGGATCGGAAATATGATAAGATATAGGATAGGATATAGGATGGGATATAGGATAGGATATAGGACAGGAAATAGGATAGGATATAGGATGGGATATAGGAAAGGATGTAGGATAGGATATAGGATAGGAAATAGGATAGGATATAGGAAAGGATATAGGATAGGATATAGGAAAGGATACACGATAGGATATGGGATAGGAAAGAGGATAGGATACACGATAGGACATAGGATAGAAGACAGGATAGGATATAGAATAGGTTATAGGACAGGATTTAGGATAGGATATAGGATAGGATACACGATAGGATATAGGATAGAAGACAGGATAGGATATAGAATAGGATATAGGATAGGATATAGAATAGGATATAGGATAGGATATGGGGTAGGAAATAGGATAGGATACACGATAGGATATAGAATAGGATATAGAATAGGATGTAGGATAGGATATAGGATAGGATATAGGAAAGGAAATACGATAAGATATAGGATAGGAAATAGGGTAGGATATAGGATAGGAAATAGGATAGGATACACGATAGGATATAGGATAGAAGACAGGATAGGAGATAGAATAGGAAATAGGATAGGATACACGATAGTATATAGGATAAGAATGGATAAGATATAGGATAGGAAAGAGGATAAGATACACGATAGGATATAGGATAGGAAATACAAATATATATATATAGGATAGGATATAGGATAGGAAATACGATAAGATATAGGATAGGATATAGGATAGATTGATATATATTTATATAGGTATACATACATGTGCGCCTGTGTGCGTTTGGTTTAATTAATCCTTTTTTGCTTATGTATTGATTCATTCAATTTCGTTCGTATTTATTCATTTATTGAACTTTGATGACAAATCTATTTATTATTGGTTGATTGATGATTAATTAATCTTTCGGACGGACAGTCAGACAGGCAGGCAGGTAGGTAATCATTCAATTGCGTCATTTTTGTTCCAAACAAGTGTTGTTTTCATTGAATCTAAAAAATATTTTAACAAAAGGCTCTGCTGGTTCGGACGGCAACATTGGAGCTCGATGCAGCCTCGATGCATTCAATATACATTCTGATATTGAGATCTTTTGGGCTCAGGCTATGAACATTATCCATGGACTTTCGAAACCAGTCCAGTTTGTAAGGGGCTGTGGTGTTACTGTCACCCATCTAGTTTTGGATCCGTCCAGTTTGTAGGGCTATAGTTGAGCACTATCCATTCAATCTGTAATGGTCACTGATTAGCCCTCTTCAGGCCCTGTACAGAATGGTCGGGACTGGAGAGTAGCAAAACCCCAAGACCGATATAAAACATCGGGCCAGGGTGGGGTACCCTTACAATATGGCTTCACCCAAGGTCAAATTTTGGCACAAAATGGTAGTCAAAAACCATTCTGTACCGGCCTTGAGGTATCGCATTCTGTAACAGAAACTTCAACGGGGATAAATAAATAAATAAATATATATATATGATGGGATGATTCATGCAGCAGTCATGGAATTAATGTTGTCTAGCCAATAGTGATATCTTGTCAATAGTAGAAACATTTTTCCGCAACTCCAATTCTTCTCCAATACTAAAAGTCAATTAGCTCCATTTACTTTTAGTATTGCCAAAAGAGTCATGTTCAGACCTTGTCCAGAGGGCATGGACCCAACATGGCAATAGTGGAAACTGTTTTCCCAACTCCAATTTTTTCTCCAATACTAAAAGTCAATTAGCTCCATTTACTTTTAGTATTGCCAAAAGAGTCAAGTAAAGCAACTCCTTTTCAAAGCAGCCTTCACTTTTGATTAGCAAAAGCTTAGATTCCAGAAATCTGATCCAATTACCAAACAGCTGATTTCCTTATAAAACCCTTATTAAAAAAAGCAAGAAAACAGGTCCACAAAGGGTACCCCCTTTGCAAGCCCCAGAACAGCAATAACAAACCTGCACCAGGCATGGCAATAGTGGAAACTTTTTTCCGCAACTCCAATTTTGTTGTCCTCCTTCTCCTTCTCCTTCTCCTCCTTCTCCTTTCCCAACTCTTCGCCAATCTCTCAGAAACCCAACCAAATCCATTCAGAATCTATCAGAAACCCAACAAAACCATGGAGAATCTATCAGATACATATCATGATCCCAGCTATAAGGTTCCAAAAAATTACTATTGGAATGCTGACCGACCTCCCTAATTTTGTTAAAAAAAAATATTTTATTTAGGGGGGGATTTACTATTAGGCAGCCTACATTACTGAAGACCTCCGCAGCGCCAGGATGCACCTCCCAAGACTTTTGGGTGAGCGGGGCTCAACCCTCAGGAAGATAATATGACTGTATTGGATGCCAAAATGGCCGGATGCCAAAATGGCCGCACGAGGTGCTGAATGATCAAATGTGCAAACTAATTTACGAGTCACAGCCATATTTGATTCCATCTTGATCCGCAGCGGTCGGGACTGTGCGAGGCAATGGGGGTGACTGGGGCAATCAGGAAGGATAAAAGAAAGAAACAGAACCTGAAGATTTGGGGATGATATCATTAATATCATTCATCAGTTGTTTCAATTCAAAACCTCAACTGGAAAGTAGTCTGCACCACAACATCCAAATCTTGCTGCCCAATCTTGCCCCCAACTTCGCCCATCTTCAGCCAGGACATTGCCCATTAATTCGCTTTCTCCTCACTTGGACCACTGTCTCCACTTGGCTCACTGTCCTTCATTGCTTCACCGTGTTTCTTTGTTGGACTTTGACAGCCTTGACCGTCGTCGAGCAAAGGGAGCTGATCATTCTCTGCGCCGTCATCGATTGGCTCCACCTCTGGGGGCCCAGCCCCATGGTCCTCAAGGCGATTGACCATTGGTTGGTCTGCCTGGTCTGGGGCAGGGGCCGCAGCTGCACCCTGGGCAGCAGGGGCGATGCGTCGGCCATGCTGCCATTGTACCGGGGGCTGTTGGCGGAGGAGGTCACCATGAATGCGCAACTGGCGCCCGGAAGGCACCTCAAGGCCCAGGGCCTTAAGAGGGGTCATATCACGCGCCTTCTTGGGGCCACGCTGGTTGACCAAACTTTGAGCCACAAGGTCTGCAGATGTCTGCTGCTCCGAGTATCTTTCCAAAACGATGATAAGGTGACAAGTCACGGTCTAAGTTGACACCGCAACACGACGTGCAACAATCAAATCACATAAATCACCGTGTTCGCACCAAGGCAGGATGCCTTGGAGGCATGTCAAAAAGTTGATCTATCTGCCAACAAGTGCACGACTGCACCGGGCACCACCATTTCTAGATCATTTTCCCATTCAAACGATTCCCGGATTCCCTGATATTTTCCAATGATTTTCCATTGATCCGACCTCCGCCGTGCCGGGCCCTGCCGGGCCCTGCCATCCGTGCCTCACCACTGATCCGCCGGACCTCCTGCGGGGAGTGCACGATCTCCACGCCACTGCCGAACTCGCCCGCACCCGGTTTTAAGATACCTGGAGCAACTTCAAATCACTGGGTTAGTCAATGTTTGATCTATGGTTAATCAATGTTTGACCTATGGTTAATCAATCGTTAATCAATGTTTGATCTATGGTTAATCAATGGTTAGTCAATGTTTGACCAATGGTTAATCAATGGTTAATCAATGTTTGATCTATGGTTAACCAATGGTTAATCAATGTTTGATCTATGGTTAACCAATGGTTAATCAATGTTTGATCTATGGTTAATCAATGGTTAATCAATGTTTGATCTATGGCTAATCAATGGTTAATCAATGTTTGATCTATGGTTAATCAATGGTTAATCAATGTTTGATCTATGGTTAATCAATGGTTAATCAATGTTTGATCTATGGTTAAACAATGGTTAGTCAATGTTTGATCTATGGTTAATCAATGGTTAATCAATGTTTGATCTATGGTTAAACAATGGTTAGTCAATGTTTGATCTATGGTTAATCAATGGTTAGTCAATGTTTGATCTATGGTTAATCAATGGTTAATCAATGTTTGATCTATGGTTAATCAATGGTTAATCAATGTTTGATCTATGGTTAATCAATGGTTAGTCAATGTTTGATCTATGGTTAAACAATGGTTAGTCAATGTTTGATCTGTGGTTACTCAATGGTTAATGAATGTTTGATCTATGGTTAATCAATGGTTAGTCAATGTTTGATCTATGGTTAATCAATGGTTAATCAATGTTTGATCTATGGTTAATCAATGGTTAATCAATGTTTGACCTATGGTTAACCAATCAATGGTTAATCAATGTTTGATCTATGGTTAAACAATGGTTAGTCAATGTTTGATCTATGGTTAAACAATGGTTAGTCAATGTCTGATCTATGGTTACTCAATGGTTAATGAATGTTTGATCTATGGTTAATCAATGGTTAGTCAATGTTTGATCTATGGTTAATCAATGGTTAATCAATGTTTGATCTATGGTTAATCAATGGTTAATCAATGTTTGATCTATGGTTAATCAATGGTTAATCAATGTTTGATCTATGGTTAAACAATGTTTGTTTGACCTATGGTTAATCAATGTTTGATCTATGGTTAATCAATGGTTAATCCATGTTTGATCTATGGTTAATCAATGGTTAATCAATGTTTGATCTATGGTTAATCAATGGTTAATCAATGTCTGATCTATGGTTAATCAATGGTTAATCAATGTTTGACCTATGGTTAATCAATGGTTAATCAATGTTTGATCTATGGTTAATCAATGGTTTATCAATGTTTGATCTATGGTTAATCAATGGTTATTCAATGTTTGATCTATGGTTAATCAATGGTTAATCAATGATTGATCTATGGTTAATCAATGGTTAATCAATGTCTGATCTATGGTTAATCAATGGTTAATCAATGTTTGTTCTATGGTTAATCAATGGTTAATCGGTGTTTGATCTATGGTTAATCAATGGTTAATCAATGTTTGATCTATGGTTAAACAATGGTTAGTCAATGTTTGATCTATGGTTAATAAATGGTTAATCAATGTTTGATCTATGGTTAATCAATGGTTAATCAATGTTTGATCTATGGTTAATCAATGGTTAATCAATGTTTGATCTATGGTTAATCAATGGTTAATCAATGTTTGATCTATGGTTAATCAATGGTTAGTCAATGTTTGATCTATGGTTAAACAATGGTTAGTCAATGTTTGATCTATGGTTACTCAATGGTTAATGAATGTTTGATCTATGGTTAATCAATGGTTAATCTATGGTTATCAATGTTTCAATGATCTATGGTTAATCAATGGTTAATCAATGTTTGATCTATGGTTAATCAATGGTTAGGTCAATGTTTCAATGTTTGATCTATGGTTAAACAATGGTTAGTCAATGTTTGATCTATGGTTACTCAATGGTTAATGAATGTTTGATCTATGGTTAATCAATGGTTAGTCAATGTTTGATCTATGGTTAATCAATGGTTAATCAATGTTTGATCTATGGTTAATCAATGGTTAATCAATGTCTTGATCTATGGTTAATCAATGTTTGATCTATGGTTAATCAATGGTTAATCAACCAATGTCAATGGTTAATCAATGTTTGATCTATGGTTCAAAATGGCAATGGTTAATCAATGGTTAATCAATGTTTGATCTATGGTTAATCAATGGTTAATCAATGTTTGATCTATGGTAATCAATGGTTAATCAATCAATGGTTAATCTGATCTATGGTTAATCAATGGTTAATCAATGTTTGACCTATGGTTAAACAATGGTTAGTAAATGTTTGATCTATGGTTAATAAATGGTTAGACAATGTTTGATCTATAGTTAACCAATGGTTAATCAATGATTGATCTATGGTTAATCACTGGGTTAATCTATTGTGAGTAAAGGTTAACCAATGTTTGATCTATGGTTAATCACTGGGTTAATCTATGGTGAGTAAAGCTTAATCAATGTTTGATCTATGGTTAATCACTGGGTTAATCTATGGTTAGTAAAGGTTAATCAATGTTTGATCTATGGTTAATCACTGGGTTAATCTATGGTGAGTAAAGGTTAATCAATGTTTGACCTATGGTTAATCACTGGGTTAATCTATGGTTTGTAATGGTTGGTAATGGTTCATCAATGGTCAATAATTGTTTAAAAAAACTGAATGAATGGTTAATAATGGTTAACCAGTGGATAATCTATGGTCAATCAATTGTTGATAATGGTTAATCAATGGTTATCCTATGGTTGATGTATGGTTAAAAACAAATTATGGTTAACCAATGGCTAATAATGGTTAATCAATGGTTAATGATGGTTAATAATGGATAATCACTGGCTAATAACGGTTATTCAATGGTTAATAGTGGTCAATCAATGGGTAATCTATGGTTAGCAATGGTTAATACGTGTCAATCAAAGGTTAATAATGGTTAATCAGTGGGTAATCTATGGTTAGTAATGGTTAATAATGGTTAATCATTGGTTAATAATGGCTAATCAATCGTTAATCTATGGTTAGTAATGATGGTAATCAATGGTTAATCAATGGCTAATCATGGTTAATAATGGTCAATCAATGGTTAATCCATGGTTAATAATAGTTAATCAATGGCTAATCTTTGGTTAGTAATGGTAGATAATGGTTAATCAATGGTTAACCTATGGTTAGTAATGATTAAAAATTGTTAAAAATGGCTAATCCATGGTTAACATTTGGTCATTCATGGTTAATCAATGGTTTATAGTTGTTAACCAATGGTTAATCTATGGTTAGTAATGGTTAACAAATTGTGAATAATGGTTAATCAGTGGTTAATTACTATGGTTATTAATTACAACTTATAATCCATTGTGACTGGGTTAAAGGTATGTTAAACCGGATAAATTCCCATAATTGTAACCAGTTAACCAGTTATAAATGGGGTATAATTATAAGATACCTGAGCAGGCTGATAGCTGGGTCTGTGACTACAGGAGGATAGAATTATGTCATATAGCTGACTTGTGCACCAGTAAACTAATTAGTGGAATTTACAGGGAACCCCTGTCTGCTGGGATTTACTACTCAGTGGTTGCTACTCCCATAGTACTCCCATGTTCGACCCCAATGTTACCCATAAACCATTCCATACTAGCGATTGATTTTTCCATATGATGGCCCTATCAAAATGTGGTAAAACCAACAATGTGGTTAAAGCAATATGTGAATAATAAAGCATCCCCAATTTCGCCATAAATAAATGGGTGGTATAAACTATTTTTTGCTTTACTACCATGACTCTTATAGTGGTTTATAAACATTCAACATTGTATTTGCATACTCATTTGCTAACATTCAAAAACAACAAGATCATTAAACCGTATCATGGGTAGTTTCTCAAAAACATCATTAAACATCACTAAACATCATTAAACATCATTAAACCTTACCATCAACATACAGGATAAAGGCCCCCAAGATAGCGTTCAGTTGCTTTATACGTGGCTGAATGCTGAATTCTATGGTTTATGGATGTTTATGGTAGATATAACTATAGTTATATACTGGGGTTTTGTCATGGTTTCATTGGTTTATAAACCAACAAACATAACTGCAGGGCCCTGGGGCCTAAATATCCTGATTGAACCCACCATGACCGTAACTCCGCGCCAGGTCACAAGGATACGTTGCCTCCTCCGCTGCCAGGAAGCGCTGGGGGAAGTGCTGCGAAAGGCCCAGCTCTTCGGCCAGCTCCGTCAACTTCACCTACGGCACCGGCGGTCCATCCCGGTTAGTGCTGGAAGAGGGCTAAAACCAGGTGATTTCTAAATGAACATGTGGATGTTGCAGGGTTTTGCCATCAAACATTTTGATTTTTCAATGAACAAGAAATGGTTTCTTCGTGGTTTGTTCCATGAAAATGACAGTTTTCCATGAACAATGATGGGTGAAACGTAGAAATTGTTGTTTTAACACGGTTTGACCAATAAAACATGGAGATGTTAAAGCCATACAAATGTTGTTTCACCGTGCGAAACATTATTTTAAGTTTGAAAGCATGTGTTCTTTCTTTGTGTACTGTTTTGCTAACACAAACGGTAAATACCATATATAAAAAAATCACGGTTTTACCATAGGAACACCCATGGTTTAATTATCCTGAAATGGGGAAATAATGCATATACGTGTGCATACTCGTAACCCATTTATTATATGTTTAATTTATAAGCCAAGGTTTCTGGAGGGGGTGCGGCGCAAAGGCGCACCTTTGCTGAAGTTGCTTCACACCAAGGACAATTAAGCTCTATGATGGATACAACTGTAGTTGGTTGGGTTAAGCTGGCTAAATTATTGCGGCTTCACTGGCTGACCTTGCCCTGATATGAAGTAAGGGGAATCATCCCTGTTGTTGTTTGGAATTTCTGGGCTGGGATTTTTTTTTTAAATGGGCTTGCAACTTTTGAAAAAGTGAGCCTAGGGAAAGAAAACAGTTCAGTGACACATTATTTTGGGGTCAAATCAGAACTAGCCTATGTAGGTGTATTATCAGCTTGACCCAGTAATTTCCCCCCTTAGCCATTACCCATACCTTCATTCCATGTACCTGGAATGTTTCCAAGATGCTGCAGTATGGGACACAGGTGGGTTCCCAGGCACGAGTGGTCATCATTGGCACAGTTGTTGCGTTGCTAGTCGGCACAAATAGTTTTGCCGTTTTTGAGAGTGGCTATGAGCACCGTCCCGTTCAGCTGGTCTGGCTGCATCGGCACGATCTTTTCAGAGCACTGCTGCCAAATGAATCACGTTGGGGGTAGTGGTAGCAAATCCAGCATACCCCTTCGACGTGGTGAAATCCCAAAGCATAGCAGGGGATTCTGCAAAACATGGGGCAAATTACCCATGTGGTGACTTCACCAGCACCAGCACGGCCAATAAGAATATTCAAAGTGGACGAAATACCGGAATATGAAGCAACAAATAATGTGAAGTCGGAGGAGGTGGACATCACATTTATCTTAATGGCGCTTTATCCAACGTTTCAACAGAAAATGTGGTTGCAATCAGAATATGAATTTCCTCGAAGCATGTAGGGTTATATTGCCTTGAACATCGATTGGACATACTTTTGAGGTCTTAGCTGTATACATCCACAAAGGTGGCCAGAAAAGGTACATGTACTTTTCAGTAGACTGGACTAAAAAGGACGGCAGGGAGCACCTCCGTAGAATGTTCTTCTTTTCGAGCCTAGTGGAAAAACAAAATCCCAAGAGTACGTTGGACGTGGGATTATGTTTGGAGTATTGTGCCCCCCAAAGGCCCTGAGATTTCAAAATGGAACTCAACACTGTAATTATGCAATTTACAAGAACAACAAACACAGGGTCGTGTGTAAGTTTGTTTACTAAGTTGATTCATAACTAGTACAAATACACTCTGGTAAACCTTTGCATAACTATGGAAAACCCCCATGGTTTCATGGGAAAATCCACTATTTCGACCGGGCCATTTTCAATAGCAAACTGTCAAGCCATCAAGCCTCGAGACTTGGTCACTTGGTCACTTGGCCCCCCCCAAAAAAATCAGTTTCACGGTTTCCCCATGAAAAAAAAACAGCGACCAATAACTTAAGGATAACTTAAAGAAAGCCGCATGTTACAGTATTTTGTTGTATTGCTACCTTAAAACACCGAGTTGTAAGAAACAGGAGATTGATATTACATGACAATAGTTATAATAGCTATTAAAATCATATACTTACCCCGAGTCTAATCCATATTATCTCCGTATTTTCTCATGGTATCCCTTAGACTTCCAAAATTCACCAATTCACCCGCCATTTTTTGTGACCGACCTTGTCGTCCAAGCGCCCCAAAATGCTGGGGCTGCAGGTAATGAGCTTCCAGCCCATCTGCAGGAAACCATGGAAAACCCATATGGGATTTTGCAGGCGCCCTAACTTCAGTCACACCAATTTTACATAGTATACATATATATATATATAACATATATGTGCGTGCTTTTTGTTTAATATATATATATTATACTTTATATATATATATACACTGTATATGTTTATATATATATACACACTGTATATGTATATATATATATATATATACACTGTATATGTATATATATATATATGCATTGGCCTTGTTGGCTGGTTTATGGAGGTTCCCAGTTTGTTGGTTAGCAATCCCTGCGCAACGAAGTAGGTTACTGTAATATCCCCTGTTTCAAGATCTGTTTTTTTGGGCACTGCCCAACTGTGAATTGGGGAAACAAAGGGACAAAGGGAAGAGTCGTCAACTTTGAAGCCAAGTCCTGCCTGAATCTTCACAAGCTCTGTTTGGCATGTGCAGTTTTCTACCTCTGGGAGTTCTTATGCTTTTCTATTGCTGCAAGGCTAAGGATCCTACAAGTTTTTCTTCCTCTCTTGTGGGATATACATGCCCTTCACCGCAGGGACAAGCAAGAACATATGATAGAAGAAAAATGAAACAACGCCATGGCAAACATATTCGAACATATTATGGAGAAAACTACGTAAGAAAGCAAATAAATACACCCAAATTGAAGTTCATGAATCTAACTCGGGGATGTTACATTCCAAAACCATTCCCTTTCCCATCATATCAAACTTGCTGGTATAAGTCAAAGCCCGGTGCTTTGACACCCTCCTCGTGGTCCCACATACCATCGATACTTGTCCAGTAGGCACTTGAATTAGCATATTGTTTATCCAAGCATGCATACCTTTCAGGCATGTATCCATCCATATCCCAACAAACCGAGTTACCATCTGGTTATTTAACATAGCCATGGAAAATCACCATTTTTAATAGGTAAACCATCTATAAATGGGCCATTTTCCATGGCTATGTTAGTCATAACCGGAGGGTATAAACCAAGCTGCCTATCGCTGGCACAAAAATCATGAGCAAATCCAAGGACATCAGATACCAGTTGGCTCAGCGGGATTCCTATGAAACACTATATAGGACTATAATGGAACATTAACAATGGGATACCCACTGGTAAACTAACAGTTTGCGAACTGGAAAATCATCATCTTTCCTAGGTACATCAACTATTTCAATGGATTCTATGGGTCATGTTCAATAGCAAACTCTTAGCTTACCAAAGGGTAAATCCCCATAATCCATTATTCATCCAGGATTATTGCTTGTTTTACCCTTGTTTTCCCACTATCTACCAGAGAGTAAACCATCTACCAACGCAGGATGTCCATTTACCCATCCATTTCCAGCGTCCTCTTTGAGCTCGTCTTGTCGTTGTGCGATCTCCATGGCTACGCGGTCCGACGCCGGTAAGAGCCTTGGTGGTGCGCAACGCAGGCAAGAGCCCTGAGGTTTGGTGGCTCGATGTCGCTTAATAGCTACAATACTTTTGGAAAGATCTATATTATTAAGTGTCTATATATATATGGATATATATATATATGGAATTTCTGGGGTAGTGTAAAGTTATGATGAGCCCTGATGATCCATCTTGAAATCCAATCTTGGATGTTGTAATGCTTATGTTAACTGTTTACCCATACCAACTGTTCAAACATGTTTGGGCACAACACCCCCAAAGCGGATATAGAAAAGTTGGAACACCTGGGAAAAGAACATGTCTATCAATGTCTCATCCAGGTTTGGCCCCCCACAATGTATATATATATATATGTGTGTGTGTGTGACTATGTGTGTGTACAAAAAACACATATGTATGTATATTATATAAATGTATGCGTGTACAAAAAGAACGCTTTTTTATAGGTACAACATAAACATATGTATGTAAGTATATATATATATATTAAATATGTATGTATGTATGTGTGTATGTATGTATGTATGTAGGTAGGTAGGTAGGCAGGTAGGTATGTAGGTATAGGTAGGTAGGTAGGTAGGTTGGTAGGTAGGTATGTAGGTATGTAGGTAGGTAGGTAGGTAGGTAGGTATGTAGGTATGTAGGTATGTAGGTATGTGTGTCTGGGTGTCTGGGTGTCTGGGTGTATGGGTGTATCTGTGTATCTGTGTATGTGTGTATGTGTGTATGTGTGTATGTGTGTCTGTGTGTCTGTGTGTCTGTGTGTCTGTGTGTCTGTGTGTCTGTGTGTATGTGTGTATGTATGTGTGTGTATGCGTGTGTATGCGTGTGTATGCGTGTGTATGCGTGTGTATGTGTGTATGTGTGTATGTGTGTATGTGTGTATGTGTGTATGTATGTATGTATGTATGTATGAATGTATGTATGTATGTATGAATGTATGTATGTATGCATGCATGTATGTATGTAGGTACGTACGTACATATGTATGAATGTGACATGTATCTTTTTATCTGTTGTATCAAGTAGCAGGCTGTGTTTTGTTGATTCTGTGCTACCCGTGGGGGGGGTTGCCCCTCACCAGCCTCCTCTACGTCAGAGCGGCGGGGGGGTGCCCCTCTCTGCTTCTTCTGGTTGGGGGTGGCCCTCCTGGCGGGCGCCATGGTGCCTGCGCCTGGAACGCCGGTGGGTGGTGAACGCCCTTCGCGGCAGCTGGCTGCGGCCTCTGGCGGTGCCATGGATGTGGACTCTGGAGTGGCGGCTGCTGTGGATGATATTCCTATGGCCGCTGCTCCTGCGCCAGGGCAGGGGCGCCTCTACTGCCCTGTTCCAGGTTGCCCTTGCGCAGATCCGGCTAGGGCCCCTGGTTGGCAGAGTGAGAGCACTTTGCGTGCCCACGTGGGTGCCCACCTTAGCGGCTCCCTTCTTGGCCAAGTGCCTTCAGGCTGGCTGCAGGCACGTGGTCGTCAGCGATGTGGGGTGTGCGGCTTGAGCGTCGCTACCCGCTTTGGCATCCACCCAACGTGCCGCCCTGCAGCCCGGGCGGCTGCACCGCCGGCGGCACGGACGGGGACCAGCCGGGCCAGATGATGGGGCGTTGCCATCTGTGTCAGAATTGCAGTCCAGTCGGACACCTACTTTGCGGCATGTTCCTCTCAGTGCTCGTTCTCTGTGGGCCCGCTGCTTCACCCGCGCTCTCGCCGCATTTGCGGAGTACAATGATGAACGGGCTTGGGTGCACCTGCTGATGCTGCCCCACACTGTCTTGTGTGCCCCGCCGCGTGGAGGCCGCAAGCACCAGCGGGCTGCTGCTGCTTTCACTGTCGAGAGGCTGCAGCGATGGCAAGATGGCGAACGGGCCTCCTTGTGGCTCAGCCGGCCACAGCCGTCCAAGCGGGCCCAGAGGCACCTCACGGACGAACAAAAGGAGGAATATGCCATAGGACTGGCCCGTGAAGGTTTTGACAAGAAAGCCTGCACCGCCCTGCTTTCGCAGGGGCTTTGCCCGGAGACGCCTGAGATTGTTGCTGCCCTGCGCCTGCTGCATCCGACGTCCCCAGCCCCCTCGGTGCCTCCATTGCACGAGCTGCCCATGGCCCCAGTGCTAGACGTCGAGTGCGTCAGCAAAGCTCTTCGGAGCTTCCCTGCCGACACGGCGCCTGGCCCTACCGGCCTGCGGATCCAGCATGTGCGGGACGCCCTGGGGCTTGGTGCGGGAGATGCTCTCATGGACCAGTTGACGGCGGTGGTTAACCTGCTCGTGCAAGGGCATGCATGCAGCAGCATCATGCCTTTGCTTGCTGGGGCGGGGCTGGTGGCATTACCTAAGCCATCCAAAGGTGTGCGTCCAATTGCTATTGGAGAGCTCCTGCGCCGCCTGACGGCCAAGTGCCTCATGCATGAGGTGCGTGCTGACGCCAAGACCTACCTGTGGCCTGCGCAAGTTGGGGTTGCTGTGAAGGCTGGTGGTGAGGCTGCCGTTCATGCCTTGCGAGCATAGGTTGGCCGCCATGCTGCTTCCAACAATTCGGTCGTCGTCAAGGTGGACTTCCGGAATGCCTTCAACACCGTCAGTCGTGACGTGGTGCGGCAGCACTTCCCTGCCTTGGCCCGCTGGGCAACCTGGTGCTACCAGGCAGCCAGCACCTTGCAGTTTGGCAGTGCAACCCTCAGCTCCACTTCCGGTGTGCAGCAGGGCGACCCCTTAGGCCCGCTGCTTTTTGCCGCTGCGCTGCAGCCTGTTGCGGCAGCCTTGCGAAATGGGCCCGTTGATTTTTCCGTCTTCTACTTGGATGACGGGGTCTTGGCTGGCCCCGTTGAAGCTGTGGCGCAGGCTCTGGGAACGCTGCAGCAAGCTTCTGCCAACCTGGGGCTGACTTTGAACCTTGACAAGAGTGAAGCTATTGCAGTTGGAAGAACCAGCTCTGCCGCCTTGGCGGCGCACCTGCCTTCTGCTTTGCTCACTCAACCTGATGGGGTGAGCCGTGTTTTGAGGGACCTTGAATTTCTGGGTGCAGCCATTGGACGGCCTGCTTTTTTGGAAGCACACGCCGCCAGCCGTGTTGAAGCTGCCAGCAAGCTTCTGGACGCTGTTGGAGAACTTCATGATCCTCAAGTCGCCTTGCGGCTGGTCCGGGCCTCAGCGGGCTTTGCCCGCCTGGTGCACACCATGCGGTGCTGCCCTCCTGCAGGACACAGCCAAGCCCTCGGGAAATTTGACCAGCTCGTGCAAACTTGTTTCAGCACTTTCAGCGGTCTGCACCTTGAACCTGGCCAGTGGGAGCAGGCCACCCGTGGCTTGAGCCATGCTGGCCTCGGACTTCGCTCCACCCGCCAGCATGCCGCTGGTGCCTACTTGTCCTCTGTGGGCGGATGTGTTGACCTCTGCGGCGACTTGGACAGCGGCTACTGGGTGGACCACTCCGGGGACATTGCTGCCGCTTTGTCCGACCTGAATGCCGCCCTCCCCCCAAACCACCAATTGGCGGCCACCACGGCCTTGGCCCATACGCAAAAGCGGCTCAGCAACTTGGTGGATGAGGCAGGCTGGACATCGCAACTTGCCGGCGCCTCGGCCGTTCAAAAAGCCACTCTCCTTTCTGAAGCAGCTCCTGGTGCCAGAGCGTTTCTCACTTGTGTCCCAAGCGGGCGCACCAAGATGGAGCCTACCCTCTTCCTTGCGGAAGTGCGTGTGCGGCTTGGTGTGCCTGAAGCCAGCCAAGATGCTTGGTGTCCCAAGTGCGATGCAGTCCTCGACACCCATGGGCATCATTCTGGCATGTGCCTAGCTGGCGGGGAGCGCGTGCTTCGGCACAACGCGCTCCGCGACCTGGTCTACAGCTGGGCTGAGAGGGCGTGCTTACGGCCTGAAAAGGAACGGGCTGGGCTTCTGCTGCCCCAGCGACCAGATGACGTCAGCAGCGCCCGCCGCCGACCAGCCGATGTATACCTTCCCTCTTTCCTTGGTCGTCCAACTGCACTTGACTTTGCCGTCACGGCACCTCAGCGGTTGGACGTTCTTGGAGCCAGGGGAGCCACTACGGCTGCTGTGGCTTATGCTGACCACAAACGCCGACATCTCGACACTGCGGCTGCATGCGAAGCCCAGCAAGTCGCCTTTTTGCCGATGGTGGTTGAGACCACCGGGGCTTGGGCCCCCGAGGCTGCCAAGGCATTGGGGCACATTGCTCGCTGCGTTGCTGCAGGCACTATGGCAGACCCCGCTGCTGCGACCTTGCTGCAGCAGGCATGCGTCCTGGTGCGATCTTGGCGGGCCAGGGCGGCCTTGCGCCGCAGGGCTGAGCTGACCAGCTAGACCTTATAGTTGCTCCTGGGGCAAGAAGTTGGGCGGCTTTTGCTTTGGCAGTGAGAGGCCTTTACTTGTTTCTGCCCACTCTTTCAGCAGCTGGCCCGGCTAAGCTGCGCTGCCCATGCTGTCTTGGTTTCGGGCAATATGTTTTTGTTTGTGGCGTGGCCTCGGTCCATGCATAGCTTTGGTTCAGCACATTGGCCAGGTTTTTTTTCCCGCCTCTAGGGTGGTTTTTTCCTGGCCGCGTCAGCCCTCGGGTTGTTGCCTGTGCTTTCTTTCGTCCTTCTGCTACGCAGCCTCCCTTTCCTTCTGAGAAGGAATGATTGGCCCAGTCCTTGTGGGTCATGATAGTTTTTTTTTTGGTTTGTATCAAGTAAGTTCACATCTTGATCATGACAGGAAGATCATGTAAGATCCCCATCTTTGGGGTGTCACAATCCACACTGATTAGGTCCCGAGGTGCCATGCGCTACCATCCGATTCAAACATCGGAAGGTCGTTGTCGCCCTGCCAGTCCTTGGTGAAACATGACCTACACATCTGGGGGATTCTGGGGGATTAAACCAATGCTGATTCAATGATTGGAAGGGGTTACTTGCCCTTATATAGAGGTTGGTTGCATCTCCATGGTATCCATCATGCTATAGAGGGAAGCTGCGCCCTGAACCCTTCAGAGAAGTTCCTGCGCACACAGTATGAGTCATTTAGGATTTCATAACATGGTGATAGCAGGCTTTTTCATTCGCCTCGCGAAAGTCTGTCCTCCTGTTGAAACGATATCAGCTGCGGAAGATACGCAGCAAAGGTGAGAACTGGCAAGGGATCTTCCGGCAGCTCTGAAGTTCTGGATAAGTAGCTGAGCTGTCAAATGGGTGCGGTAGAAATATATTGCAACTGGGACATAGATCAAGGATTTCAGGTGTGTTTTCAGTCTATTTCAACCAAATACTAGTTTGCCGGGTGTGTCTACCCCCGAAGCTGTGGGACATTTCACCTTGTACTATTCATATCCATTTATTGCCCCTCGGTGCACATAGCCTCAAGGCCCTCAAGGAGTTCCTCAAATGGCTTGACCCATCAGTCAAGCTGGGGCACCGTGGGCGATACCAGCCTCACCCTGGTTTTCAGGGGCCAAGCACCCCCTCTGTTCCAGGGATGCCAAAAAAAAGAGTTCCCGCAGCATGTCTTCTCAGCTGTTCGTGTTGTGAATCTGTTGCACCTGAAAGACCGTTGCTCAACAAGAAAAAAAACAACATCCCCACCCTTTACTAAATTGTGGCGCTCAAAATTCTCTTGAAGAAATACCTTTCAACCCATGGATTTGTCACACCCAAACTGTGGACTGGTTTCAGGATCTCGTCTGACCTGAGACGATCCCTGGAAGTTGTAAAGGACTTGAGTCAAGGGGCTCGCAGCTGCTACAAACATCCTTTTGCATGGTAGGGCCCACTATTAGATGCATGCTGATATGCATAGTTATATATATGTGTGTGTGTTATGTATAAAGTAGCCAGTTCCCCAAAGATGAAATACATCCCTAGAAGCTCTGGTTTAATTAGAATTGGATCTATTCATTTTGGGTCCCTTACTTGGAGCAGTTAAGACTAGGGGGAGTGGATTCTGAATAGCATGGTTCCAGATCCATCACTAAGCAATCTGCAGTGTTCTGGTTTAAACCGACCCACAAACAAACGCATTGACTATGGAAAACCTTAGCCAGAATAGCCGGACATGGCATCATGCCACATGTTTGTTTTCAAACAATTACCCAAATAAAAAGCAAACTCTAGCAAATTGCAAATTCAAAGTGCAGCAAAAAAGGTGGAGTAAACAACCAGCCGCGGTTTGTTCACCCATTTTCCGTAGGAATTCTGGACACTTTTTACTTCATCACGGCTGACACTATCCGGATCTATCCGGCCTCAGCGACTGGAGTTCTCCAGTCATCGTTGGCACAGGGTTTTCTCGATCTCACTCCTCAGCAGTGTCGTGACAAAAAGGGCGACTGCACTGGTACCCAGCATCGCCTTAATGAATTGACCATCACGACCAAGCTATGAGTCAACTGACCTTCCCAAAGCATGGACAGTCAAAAACATGACCCTGGGTCCACAATTCGGGCACTTCTCTTCGAGTCAGACTTACGAGGGATGTGAGATGGCAAAGGCCCAGCCTTTTCCGCAACTGCACAGATTTTGAATCGAGAAGCATCCAGGAACGTTTCTGGTTCTCGTCGTCACATACCTAAGCTGCACACCGTCTCGAGTCTCTCTCTCTCTCTCTCTCTCTCCCGCTAGGTCTGCCAATGGCAAACAGAGTCGCACACACACACAATCACGCACAGATATATATATACACACACATAATCACACATATATTTACACACAAATCGATTAAGGACCAATCAAGAACAACTCAGGCAGTTCCATCTATTTTACATTTAGCCCTCCATCCAGCAGCTTGGCATTTTTGTTGTGGGGCTCATGGAAAAGAACAGGTGAAGTTATCCCCTTGCCCCCTCAATATCCCTTAACCGCATTTCAAACCACACCCTTCAGCCCAGTGGCCATGTAGTAGTTCCGCTCCCGGACCCCCACGCAGAAACAGCGGGCTTGCTGAGCCTCTCCGTCTCCACTGTACCTGGAAAAACATGGAAAAACCACAACTTGGCCAAGCCCTTGAGGGCACATATTACTATAGAAATACATACAGTTCACTTAGCACCACCACGGCCCCAACTGAAAGCTGGACCGTCGAAAATGTTCCCAGAGGACCTTGCAGGTCTGGATTAAAACATCCTCTGTTTTTCCTGGTAGAACATGCTAAACCTACTGATCTCACCAATTGGTTTCCTATATGTTTTATAAATGATTTCTTAGTTTTCAGTGGTTTGAACCATACAGAACTTCCATGTTTCACGCTTGGACCCATCACTTTCATGAGTTTCCCTCTCCCCCATTGACTTCCTCATTTTCTGTTGCTCAAACCATACTATGTTCATGTTTCACTGTCAAAACATGTTTGAACCAGTTTGAACCATAGTTTTTCCATACAGTTCCATGGGTTTACCCATGCTAATTCAAATGTTTGGTAAGTTAAACCATACGAAACCCATCTTTTTCAACGTCAAAATTACCGTTCACCATTTTTTCACACTGAAACATGCTGAAACCCTCGTTTTTCCCAATGATTTCCCTGGTTTTTCCATGGTTTTGCCCGGCACTTTCCACATTTTCCACACCTTTCCGCAGGGGCCGGCAGGGCCCAGGGCACACGCGTAGAACGCTGCCCTTCAGCACCACCTCGGTGGCCTGTGCCGTGCGCTGCCGTGCCGCCTGCCGCGAGCGGAAGCTGCGCAGCTCCTCGGGCAGCAGCACCAACCAGCGACGGCGCCAGCGTTTCCAGAAGCGCGAGCGTTTCCAGACCCAGCCCTCCAGGAGACCTGATGGATCTGGAGGATTTGGATGACCTGATGGGATGATGGGTTTGGATGAATCTTTCCAAAACTTGGGAAAATGTGGAGTTGTTGGATGATTTCACCGTGAGGCCGGGATAATGGAGGAATATGATGAATTATGGATTCATGATGTAAGGATTGTTTTGTTTTTTGATAAATCAGTGGTTCAGGTGCCTGGGATGAAGGAAAAACCATGAGCCCTACAGGAGGCCTATCTGATGGATGGAGGAACATTCGGAAAACACCTGGGAATTTTCGATCGGGTGAACAAAGAAAACGGTAGAAAAGGATGGACAGTTGAGATTTAAAAGGATTTAACCATCCCAAAAGGTTTGGGAGATTGATACGTCAAATGGCTATCATTAACATTAATTAATGCTATCCGATGACTTGTGGTATGATACATGGCTGCTGAAAGGATATCTTTGGATGCATAAAAAATGGTTGATGAATGGCACTTAGATAGGCCACGGTTAGTTCCCTACTAATAGATTGTAAATGGACTGTATGGTATGGGTAACCTGGGATGGAAGATAAATATGAAGGGTGCATATGTTGTTCCACTTTAACAAAATAGATATGGGAAATTTGATAGGATTATGATATATTATGATATGGATGCCTGGGATGAAAGGAAAACATAAGGGATGTGTAGCCAAGGGTATGTTGACGCATTCTATGGTTCATAGATGTTGACAACAAAATTCCATGGTATAAACTACCACAATTTGATGGGATTAGGGAAATGTGAAGGGAAATCTGATAGGATCAGTCCCGAATCAATCCGCCATTTACCCCAAGATTAACTAACATAGATGTGGAGAATCAACCATATTAATTAGACAATTAGATCATTTCCTACGGAAGCCATGTATTTTTCCACATCTATGCATCTATGTAAACGTTTACCCTAGGGTATAACCACTTAATCCCAACATTAAGAGCCATTAATCACCATTAAAGTTGGTAAAACAATAATAAACCATCCCAAATTTCACCATAAATAGGCGGTATGAACCATTCCCAAATAGGTGGCTATTGCTTTTCACACATTAATCATCCATTAATCAAAATTAATGACCATTAATCATCATAAATCACCATTAATAATTTATTAAATCATCCATGAATAACCCATGAATTTACCATGAATTTACCATGAACAAAATCACGGGGAACGCCACGAGGCTGTTGGGATGCGTGTAGCGCACCGGTCTCCCGGAGCCATCGATGGCTGCGTCGCTCTCCGCGTCTTGCGCGTCGGCGCGGACGGCGTTGGGATCGGTCACCTCCTCCGGTGACGTGTCGAAGCGTGGCTGGGAGAATGGCGCCATCAGTTGACCTATTGTTGATAATGGTAATCTATGGTTAATGATGGTTTATTATGGTTAGTAATGGTTAATAATGGTTAATCAATGGTTTATAGTTGTTAATCAATGGTTAATCTATGGTTAGTAATGGTTAATCAATGGTTAGTAATGGTTAATAATGGTTAATCAATGGGTAATCTATGGTTAGTAATGGTTAATAATGGTTAATCATGGTTTATTAATGATGGTTAATGATGGTTATATATATATAAACTGATATGATCCCAAACATAGCTACTGAAAATGGCCATAGAAATAGTTGACCTACCCCAATATATACTATTGTCAATGATTAATAATGGTGAATTTGATGGTTATATATATATATATATAGAAACTGAACTAAGCCCATTTATAGAATGTATAATCCCATAGAAAGAACCAGTTGCTGGTTGGTGGTATGCCTACCACTCTGAAAAATATGAGTTCATCAGTTGGCATGATTATTCCTAATATGGAAAAATAAAACATGATCCAAACCACCAATCAGTAATGGATTTTAATGGGATAAAATCCAAATCAGTTGGGTAATGTTGAGTCATAACTTTTTTTTTTGAAATAGGATGACCGCTTTTAATGGATTTAATGGGATACCCTCTGGTAAACATACAAAAAAACTATGGAACATCACCATCTTTTGTAATAGGTAAACCAACTATAAACGGACAATTTTCAATAGCAATGTTAAAATACCAGAGGGTAATCGTATGATATATATATATATATACCACTATCCCACCATGTATTCATAAAAAATAATAGAACCCCATGATGGGATAGGGGTGCCATATATATTCTATGATGATGCACACTTGGATGATGGCAGGTTAATCCATGGTAATGTTGGTAAAACATGTTTTTTTGAACCATCTAGATTTTAATGGCTTATACCACTGCTTCCCAAGTCTCCTCATCTGGTTTCGCTTCAGCTTTTGCTTCAGGGGTTGGCTCATGGAAGACCTGAGGCGCCGAGGCGACAGCCGAGGCGGTCCTTGGAACTCATATAGGGTTAATGGTGATGATATATATATATATATATATCATGATATTATATCTATATAAGTTGGTTTCTTACTCCATCTTACTCCATCTAACTATGAAGTTAGATTTTAGTTAGATGGAGTTAGATGCAGTAAGAAACCACCTTCTTACTGGGGGTTGTAATTACATGTCACCACCAGGTAAACCAGTTTTGCATGAGATAAACCATGCGGGGGACTTCTTTAAGAGGATTGCTAACCACTTCCTAGATGGGTCACTTAAAACATATCTATATAGTTACTATACATGGATTACATTTTGGTGATCCCATGGGTTATAATCCAGTTGTGACTAACAATTAGTTAGTCCCATGGCTGATAAAAGTGGATTCAGAATCTCCGCTGGAACCCGCATGTTGATCAAGGTTTTGCATGAAGATCATTGCCACGTGCTAAACATGATGGGTTTTCCCTTACAAAGTGGTGTCCCATAGTTGGCTAAGTTGGTTTAAAACTCCAATAACTTTATAGGTTTGTAATGCATTGATCTATATATATATATTATATCTATTGGTTTTCCCACTAACCAAATAAAAGACATGATATGATCCCCATTGATCCCCGTTACAACTCCCTTTTTTCTTGTAGTTGGTGGGGGTTCTCACCCGCAACCCCTTTATTTCGTCCAGCGCACATTGGCCATGTCTTCCTCTTCCGATTCCTCCACTTCCACTGGCGCAGCTTCCACCGGCTCCGCCACGTAGCCGCTGGCCGTGGCGGGTTCTTCGTAGTGCTCGGCCGCGTGGTCGTCCGGTTCGTCGTCCTCGCCCTGACCTGGCTCGTGACAATCCACCCAGGATTCAATGGTTTATAGGAGAATCTGAACCGGAAACAGTGGAATTTCCATGATTTTCCCTTGACATATGCGTTTTTTTTCTGAAAATATTCCCGGATAAACAACTGATGGATGTTCTGGAAACAAAACTTTCAAAACAAAACGGCAATATACCTGTGCCAAGCAACGGTGTCGAAGCTCTCTGACCATTTCGCGCCTGTGATCAGAGCAAAGGCTTGGCTGGTTAACCACCGACTAATGACAGCTTATGGGCCACGTATTTATTGGGTGGTGGTGGAATCCCCATGAACATGTATGCATGTAGTTTCGTTTCCATTGTTAATTAACACATTAATTATACCACCTTTCTTTGCCAGCATTCTAACCCCAAATTCATCCCGTTTTTTAAAAACCAGCACCAGGGCGCAAAACTCAAAGAGCAAAATCACTTAGAATGTCAAATTAAATATGTTCAATTCAAACCTCCTTCACATGCAAATCACGCGCAGCTCACCAAGACGGAACGCTGGCTGAAGCTTTCAAGACTGCTTGGTAAGGACACGCCTTCCAGGCTCTGGTTGAACCCAAAGCCAAATGTCAAGGTCTCAAGACTGCTTGGCAGAGTCACTCGTTCCAGGCTCTGTTTAAACTCATCGCCAAATGTCAAGGTCTCAAGACTGCTTGGCAGAGTCACTCCTTCCAGGCTCTGGTTAAACCAATGTCCAAATGTCAAAGTCTGAAGATTGCTTGGCAGAGTCACTCGTTCCAGGCTCTGGTTAAAGCACTCGCCAAATGTCAAGGTCTGAAGACTGCTTGGCAGAGTCACTCGTTCCAGGCTCTGGTTAGAGCACTCGCCAAATGTCAAGGTCTGAAGATTGCTTGGCAGGGTCACCCCTTCCAGGCTCTGGTTAAACCAATGTCCAAATGTCAAGGTCTGAAGACTGCTTGGCAGGGTCACATGTTCCAGGCTCTGGTCAAAATCGCTGCCAAATGTCAAGGTCTGAAGACTGCTTGGCAGGATCACTCCTTCCAGGCTCTGGTTAAACCGATATCCATATGTCAAAGTCTGAAGATTGCTTGGCAGAGTCACTCGTTCCAGGCTCTGGTTACAGCACTCGCCAAATGTCAAGGTCTGAAGACTGCTTGGCAGAGTCACTCGTTCCAGGCTCTGGTCAAAATGGCTGCCAAATGTCAAGGTCTGAAGACTGCTTGGCAGGGTCACATGTTCCAGGCTCTGGTCACAATCGCTGCCAAATGTCAAGGTCTGAAGACTGCTTGGCAGAGTCACTCGTTCCAGGCTCTGGTTAAACTCATTGCCAAATGTCAAGGTCTGAAGACTGCTTGGCAGAGTCACTCGTTCCAGGCTCTGGTTAAACCGATATCCAAATTTCAAAGTCTGAAGATTGCTTGGCAGGGTCACTCGTTCCAGGCTCTGGTTAAAGCACTCTCCAAATGTCAAGGTCTGAAGACTGCTTGGCAGGATCACTCCTTCCAGGCTCTGGTTAAACCGATATCCATATGTCAAAGTCTGAAGATTGCTTGGCAGAGTCGCTCGTTCCAGGCTCTGGTTAAAGCACTCGCCAAATGTAAAGGTCTGAAGACAGCTTGGCAGAGTCACTCGTTCCAGGCTCTGGTTAAACCGATATCCAAATTTCAAAGTCTGAAGATTGCTTGGCAGGGTCAAATGTTCCAGGCTCTGGTTAAAGTCATGGCCAAATGTCAAGGTCTGAAGACTGCTTGGCAGGGTCACTCGTTCCAGGCTCTGGGTAAACCGCTCTCCAAATGTCAAGGTCTGAAGACTGCTTGGCAGGGTCACATGTTCCAGGCTCTGGTTAAAGCACTCGCCAAATGTCAAGGTCTGAAGATTGCTTGGCAGGGTCACCCCTTCCAGGCTCTGGTTAAACCAATGTCCAAATGTCAAGGTCTGAAGACTGCTTGGCAGGGTCACATGTTCCAGGCTCTGGTCAAAATCGCTGCCAAATGTCAAGGTCTGAAGACTGCTTGGCAGGGTCACATGTTCCAGGCTCCGGTCAAAATCGCTGCCAAATGTCAAGGTCTGAAGACTGCTTGGCAGGGTCACATGTTCCAGGCTCTGGTCAAAATCGCTGCCAAATGTCAAGGTCTGAAGACTGCTTGGCAGGGTCACCCCTTCCAGGCTCTGGTTAAACTCATTGCCAAATGTCAAGTGTTCAAGGCTTTCTGGGAGATGGTGCAAATACTTTGTAGTTGTTGCACCGGCTATTTGTGTCACTCCCTGCAATGCAAGCTCTTTCTGAGAGACTGGCAGACTTTGGACAGTACACCACGCAGCATACAGATCTGTTGGAACATAGGTGCACGAGAGTGTTGCAGCCTTGCCCATGATGCCTTGCGCCTGCAGTTCTTTGTGCAGTATCAGAGATGAGTCAAGGTGATGCAGGGTGAGTTGCGCACCTTTTTTCTGAGGAAGCTGCTTTGAAACCATTCGGTAAACTTCCCAACCAGTACAGGAACCATTGAGCTTCAACATGCATCCTTCCCCATTCAGGCATTGTACAGAAAGATCGAATAAATCTGAGCCACGACTTGGCTCTACACAAGCACCAGCATCACTGGTTGACATTGACCCGCTTTTGCTCAGGGCCACCGGGCTTTGCCGGCTGCACCGTCGTCGAGGTGAGCTTGAGTCGAATGACTGCGTTGAATGCAGGCGAGAGATGTGAGGTCTGGAGGTTTCCACGTGTCAAACGTGAAACATAGGGGATGGGTCAATATCTATTACCTTCTTGTAAACTAACAAAAAACTATGGAAAATCACCATAGAAATAGTGAGTTTTCCCATGAAAAATGGTGGATCTTTCCATAGTCATGTTAAAGTACTAGAGGGTTACAACTATAGAAAAAAGTGGGATGATATCTATAGTTAGTTGGGATAATATAGGAAAAACACTGGGGAACACATTTTCAGCATCTACAAAAAGCGCTATTTTGGGCTGACCGAAAACCGGACCAAAAAAAAAACATGGTGAACTGACCCACTAAAGCCATGGCAAACTGTACGAATCTATGTTAAATATAGCAATATATGTCATATATAGAAATGTAATTACTGAATAAATGATATGTATCTATACATATATATAATATATAGTACATATATAATACATATATAGTACATATATAGTTATATATATATATATAGTTACTTATATATATATGTTATATATATATGTTATATATATATATATATATATGTTATATATATATGTTGTATATATGTTGTATATAGTTATATATATATAGTTAGATATAGTTAGATATAGTTATATATATAGTTATATATAGTTATATATAGTTATACATATAGTTATACATAGTTCTATATAGTTGTATATATATATAGTTATATATAGTTATATTTAGTTTCATATAGTTTCATATAGTTAATTAACATGTTTCATGCCATGTTTGCTACATATCTTACGGTTGGTATCGAGTGTGCAGAAGGAAAAAGCTTCAGGGTGCCTGATCCACCGGACCCCCCGCCTCAAAAGGCTCTCCGAGTGACCATCTTTGCCTCACTGATGGCACCAACAGGACGCAAGGTTCAGATAGGTTCAGGAACATGTTGTGTTAAGCCATGGTAAACCTAATGTTCAGCCACTAAGCATTCCAACATGCCAATGCCCCAAGGGTGCGAGATTTATCATTGGGTCTAACACTACCACATTGGATACCGGCCATCTTCTGGGGAAGCTGTAGGACTGGAGTGAGCAACATCACCCCAGCAGTGACATCAATGATGGTAAAGTCGCCACAATACGTCGAGCATTTGAAACTTTTTTTCTGGCCCAAATGGAATTGCTTGCCATTTTCTTCAAATCATGAGGATATGAATGGAATGATGTTTGAAAACACCAAGAAGTGAATTTCACCATGTACCAACACCTCATGTCGTAAACGGCTCAATTTGCTTTTGTCTTTTATTGGTGCATCTCCCCACCCTGTAAGCCATCGCGCGGCTATGCACGGCTCATCTTATAGATAACCTGCCATTCCCCAGATTTACTCACATGTTCACCTACTGACAGTAGTTTGCTGATCCGCTGCTGAAAGTTTACTGTAACTTTCAGCAGTTTTTGTGGTCAACCCCAAAAGAAGGAAACATCTGAATGTATGGCCACAATCAATTCACTTACTTAATTACTGACCATGACTTACCTATACCCATGATTACCCATGTTCAACTGTAGACTTGTAATGTTTCTCTATTTCATGGCAAACATGTCCGAGCAAACGGGCACCGAGGTGCTGGGCTTCCAATGACGAAAGGCACCCAACTCCTTCAGCAAGGACTCGATGGTGGCGCATTTGCCTTGAGGTGCTAGGTGGTGCCCGGAGTTTCGCTTCATTTGATGTATCATTGTTTATATGTGTTTATATGTGCTTTTATGTGTTTATATGTGTTTATATGTGTTTATAAGATTTTATAAGTAGATTAATTTAATTCTTGGGTTTTTCGTGACTATAATCAGAACTGCAGTTCATAGGGTTTAGAACAATAATGTCCTTTTGGTAAAAATAGAGGGGCCGATTTGGTATACCATCTATCATCATTTACCTGTTGTTAAAGAGGTAGTTTCAAACCCCTCTATTAATCAACCAACCAATGGGAAAAGGACATCTATGGTTTAGAAAGGAATTTGAAATGGTTTGAAGGAGCTGTGGTCATGGGAAGAATCTGACATATGGATACATATGAGCCCAGAAGTGACCATTAAATAATGGGGATCATAATGGATCGTAATGGTAGATTGGATTTTGGGTGCCCAAAACTCACGATAAAATGGTGATGGGATAAAATGTCGGATTGATATGGCATACACTTCGGAAACAGAAAGCGTGTGTTTCCCTTCTTGCCCTTCTAGCGGGGGTTTCAATCGCAAATTTCAACGAAACTATTTCTGGAAAGGTGATTTGGAGATGAAGAGGTGGTGATGCACAAAACTGGTTCAGTGATGTTCAGTGTAAAAAAATGTTTTCCTGCATGGTTTTCTTTACCATTTCAACTGGTTTTTCTGTCAACCCATCCTCAAAACAGTCAACTTCGGTCATCATCCCAAAATAGGGTGTGTAAACGTGTTCTTGTTGTTCCAACACAAATGCACCATCAGCCAGCCATTTGGACTCAAAGCAAAACAGAGATTACGATTCGGCATGATCACAACGTGACACGCAGTAGCTAAGCTGGTTACCATGGCGAACCATAAAAAATCAAGAGTTAATCCTGGGAACTATGGAAATGGCGTGGTATAATTCAGTTCGAAAACAACATATCGTAACATATCCCTTAAAAGTCGCACCAATTGGTCATGGTGAATTTTCGTAATGCAGGCACTATGATCAGGTTATCATGGTACTGAGTAAATTATAGTATTTCACTAACCTGAATCTTGCGGCCATTTGGGGATGATTTCCCTAAAATAAACCCATGATTCCAGGCTTCGGTCGCGACGTGAGGTCCAAGTTGCTCAGCAAGTGCTTCCAACGTTCGTCTGTGTGATACACCTCGCCAGCTCCAAGTACTGGGATGAAGTTGCACTTAGTTGGGAAACCATGCCTTTCCCATAGGATCCATGGTGCTGGCATATATGCTAACATGACTGGGGTATGTTGATGGTAAATGTTAGCATATAAAACCACTTAATAACGTGTGATGTGAGAAATTTGCAGAAAAAGGGCAGGATCCTCTGTGCACCCTCAACCGGGGACTGCAAATATGATGCAACACTTTTCAATTATCTTCGTTCTTAAGTCCCCAGTTTTTCCAAAGACCTCCTCAACAGCAAAAGGCTTCATTGCACCCCTTCTTGAACATGGAATGTCTCAAATTGAGACAAACCAAGAATCTTTGACATTCGAAAGAATAATATTGAAGAGTCCGGGAAAAGAACTGTCCACTCAGCCATTACTACAATTACACGAGCACAAATTGCATCGAATTATGCACAGTTGCACAACCGTAATTAAATCCTACATTATGGAGAAATAGTTGCAAGGCGGTGCCGTTCGTTTAGCAGTTGGTCTAAGAAAATCGTCAACTATATCGCTACATCTACCAGCAACTCTATCATATCTAGATTATCTATATATATATATATATTATATATACTTATGTTAGTCAAAACTATAAACCTTAGCTAACCATGGGGCACCACTTTGTACCAAATATCTCGAAATGTAACGAAACTCCTCACACCACAATGGATCCACCCACGAACTGGTGAGTGTATATATCCCGGTTCATAGCAAACGATTACCATAACTCTGTCAATGATTTTCAGTTTAAGATCTCCATCTATGATTAAACTAACGCGACATTTAAGTTCACCAAACCACCGTTAATTCTTATTTTTTAAAACTTGAAAAAAAAACACGAAAAATGCAAAAACAAATGGAAAAACCAAAAAGCAAATCAGCAAAATCCAAAAAACACAAAAGCAAAATAAAAGGGAAAAAAAAAAAAAGGAAATACAAAAAGGGGAACACATGAGGAAAAAATGGACTTGTCCATTTGCATTTTTTTTGTTTTTTCGTTTTGCTTTTTGTTTGCTTAATTTTTTGCTTTTTATTTTGTTTTTTTCCAGGCAAAAAGCATGTTTTTTCCAGGCAAAAAGCAAAAAAAACAAAATAAAAGCAAAACAAAAGCAAACAAAAAGCAAATCGAAAAAGCAAAAAAAAACAACAAAAATGCAAATGGACAAGTCCATTTTTTCCCATGTTTTCACCCTTTTTGACGTTCCTTTGTTTTCCCATTTATTTTGCTTCCTGTTTTTTTCGGTTTTGAAGTTTTGCTGTTTGATGTTCCATGTGTTTTCCATTTTTTTTTGCTTTTTTTTCAAGTTTAAAAAACATGAGAACTAAGGGGAGAGGTGAACACAACGCTACATCAGGCTTTTAAGAAACCATTATATTATAAATACCCTCGATATGCCCATCCCGGATTTCCCCAGCCACCCTACACCAGCGCTGCTACCAGCGCTTTCACCAGACCTCCAGCTGAACTGTGTCTACCACCAATCGTAGGCGGCCGATACGTTCGCAGCCCTTGTCTGCGAAGACGCGTGACAGCGCTTGTTTGTCGCCACTCACCTAGGGTCATGGTAGGTCATGGTGCCCCACAGCTAGCTAAGTTAGTGAACATAACTCCAATAACTAGGGGTTAAGGTAGATATATCTCTAGTTACTGTGGTTTAGAAAGCTACTTATAACTGGGGGGCACCATTTTTGTAAACTATTAACAATTGGGATTCAACAACTGAAAATAGGGATTCATAGGGATTCTAATACCAACAATCGGATATTTTAGGTATATTATAGCTAAGTACAAGTTGATTTATTTGAGAAGGCCAGCTATTGGATTCAAGGTATAGATATGACTGGGTGTTTTTTTCACGGGTCTTCGGTTTCCACAATGGATGAGAGTTCTAACAATGAACAATGGCACTTAATCAGCAAACAAAACAATAAATCAACAAACAGTGGTTTGCTGGTATGAATGATGACCAATCGGGGTCGTCAGTTCTATGGCGGCAAGCCCATTTTTACAACAGACAAGAAACACACGACGAGCAACACGTCGGAATTGAAACAACCACAATGTTCAGTAAACGTTGATTCCGATTCACTTTCGAGTCAGGATGACTCATTGCAGATCAAGGGTCGGCACAAAAATTGCATGTTTCTCAATTTTTACCCCAGAAATGTAGATTTTGCTCATTTCCTTTTGGAGCAGGATTAGGCTATGATTGCCACAATAAAGTGGATTTGTAATGGTTTATAGTTTATACATCCCATTCACTATGGGGATATTCCTGAATGCCTCTATGTCCATTATAAATCTTACTTAACCTAAGACTTAACCTAGTTAAGCTTGTTGCACCACTTTGTACTTTCCACAAACCTCCACCATCCCGGCCATCCCTTGCGCAAAGGACCGCTTGATCCAGGCCATCGCGAAGACATTCCACTTTCTTCATGAGATCCGCCTCCTGGTTCCGACGTTCCGACGCCACCAGGGCCACATCTCTTGGAACTTGAGGAATACATGATGATTTTTGCGGTTTATGTTTGTTTTATGTGGAGTATTGTGGAGTTATCTTTGTGAAATGAGGCCATGATTCTTCAACAACTGTATTTCAAATGTATTTCAATTACCCGTTTCCTTATAGATGTGAACAGCAATGCTTTTCGTCAAGTGGGCTTAGGGATGAGCCTCAATTTTGCTAGACACTTCCCAACCCCAACATCCAATTCCAAATAGCATGTTTTCCCATCGACAAACAAAATCATGATCAACAAAACCCATAGTAAACGTCTACGTCATGCCCTTTTTTTATCAAATCAATGTTGGTTCTTCATCCCATTTTTTACTGGTTGGTGGTTTCAACCACTCTGAAAAATATTAGTCAGTTCGGATTATTATTCCCAATATATGGAAAAATCAAACATGTTCCAAACCACCAACCAGTTTAACATGCTTTTCCTCCACTTTGCCAACAGTTCCTTGACCTTCCTAAAGTTATTCACCAATATTCACCATGTTTTTCCCCAAACCCACAGCCCTTGGCTAATCTTACATGTTTCCCCTATCTAAACTCTCATCTGATGATCCAGAAGTAACATGTCATTCTTTGACACTCTTATAATATCACAAATATAATATATATATAATTATATATATATATATACATATGTATGTATCCGCCTACATAGGGACTTCACCAATAGTTTAGTGTGAAAATTAGGGGCCACCAACCACATGGCAAGCATCAGCCACGGGTTGTCTTCCTTGGCCGCATATGTCATTTTCAAACACCCGGAATCATATGAAGTTGATGATACCAAAGTTGATTATACCAAAGATTATACACTGGGATATGTTGTTGATATCAATATCATGTTTTTTTCCAACTGTACTTATGTTCCAACAGCATATCCCAACATATCCCAGCCATAGGCCATATCCATTGTGTTCACTCGGCTCCTTGGGAACATCAAAAATACAGATTTCACCAACAAACACTAGGGTTAACTAGGATTCGTGATGGACATATGTCAACAAAACTGGGGGCAGCACGTTGTGGATCCAGCACTCCTTGGCCTCTCAAAATCCGAAAAAACACCATTTATTTCTCCATTAGTATCTCCCAAAAAATCGACCAAACCAATCACGAAAAGTGGGAATCCAGATCTTACACTTCTATCTTTTTGTTGGTGTGTTACTTAATATCCCATCCTCATATTAGGGTTTCCTAAAATGGGGGTACCTCCAAATCATCCATTTGTTTTTCTGATTCTCCATTATGAACAAGCCAGCTATTGGGGTACCCCTATGTTAGGAAACCCCCATATATTGATATATGATGATATATGTGTAGATTATCCATGATATTTTGGCTCCTATATCCAGTTAGCATCTCATAATATATATCTATCTATCTATCTATCTATCTATCTATATATATATACCCTCCGGTAAACTCATATATAGCTATAGAAAATCCCCCATTGATAGTTGAATTACCAAACTGAAAAATGGTGATCAAAAAAAAAACAGCATCTCCCATCCCGTCCAGTCGTCCTTGGCCTTTTTCTGCACGGACCCAGGCGCCGTCTCATCCACGCGGTCCGCCGCGTCCTCGATGCCCTTCAGCGCCCCGTCGAAGTCGCGCTCCTCCAGCACCTGGACCGCTGACGCGGCGGAGTTTCAATCGGGAAAAAGCTGGAAACTGCTGGAAATCATGGATTTAATTTAAGATGGTTTAATATGGTTTAGTATGGTTTCATCTCTTGGAAAGTCAGGAAAATCATGGTTTTTGCAAATTTCTTCGGAGGAAAACAATAGGGAGTCCCAAGAAAAGAGGATTGATAATTGGTTTTATGGAGAAAACTGGGAATTGATGTATCCTGATGTATCCTGATCTACTGAAATTCTGAAATGATATGAAACTTCATTGTGATTTGTGAAGGGTTGCTTTAACGTTTTGTGAAGGGCCCGGAAAAATGTGATTTTCGCAAACAAATTTCACCGATCCTTCAACCAATTCACCGATAAAAACGACGAATAAAACTGATCATTTCACCAACCCCACCGGGGTCCATCCAGCTTTGAAAGCCTGGCCCTGCAACACATGTTGCCGCCAAGAAACTGCTATGGGCTTGTGTTTCTTCAGATACCTGAGCTTCCAAATGCTTTCCTTTACACTCCAACAATAGTCAGCAAAGAACAACATATATCAAAATATGGGAAATCCTGTGACGAAACGTGTGCGTACAGAGGGAAACAGTATGTGTTTTCTCCAAGATGTTGCGCATGATATTTTTCCTATACCGTTCAAGTCTCCGAATATATGTCTATTTCTTATATCTGCCTGGGGGTTGCTACGTGTTACGGGTCAGAAGTTCGAAGATCTTTGACCACATAGTGCTGAAACTAGCGGCTGGGTCCTCCAACACCACAACACGATTACCCTCTGGTAAACAAACATAGCTATTGAAAATCGTTATTTATAGTTGGTTTGCCCATTAAAAATGGTGGTTTTCCATAGTTATGTTAGTTTACCAGAGGGTAAACATGAACAAACATAAACAAACATATATAATTGTGAGCCCAAAACATCATGCTAAATGTGCAAAAACATCCTTAAAACTTAAAACCAAGAAACACCTAATAACACACAACTGGTCCATCATCAAATTTGTGTTGCTCTCGTGTTGCCGCCTTTTATTCGTGGTTTCCATCCCAAACTCTAAATCTTCATCAGACCCCCCAACGGTAATTGAAACTCCCAGGTGGTGCAAAACCAAGTCACACTCCGCAGTTCTGTTCCAAATACCTCCTGATTTGGTCAGTTCCGGGGGTTGGATCCAGTTGGCATGAAATCTCGGTCAATGTGATGCACAATGGTGCTTTGGCTTACTGGACGGTTGCAACAGCGTGCCCATGAATCATGAATTTGGATGGTTTATTTGTATTCTCAGTCTAGTTTAATGCCATGCCGCACAAGAAAAATATTTGTAAGACAGCTCCCGCTATACAAGGTGGGACGCCCTAGATAGATTGGATAGCAAAATTGTGTTATACGATATATAGATTAGGATATATTTAAGGACCAGCCAGAATTTGAGCAGGCCGCGTCGACAGACACCATGGGCTAGAGGAAAAACAAATATAATATAATATATAATTATATACATAATATATGTATATTATATATATATATATAAATATGAACATTATATAGCTGCAATGCTGGCCATTTCAGGTACTGTTTCCCTAAATATTGAAGGTTCCATCAGCAAAATCCAAGGCTCCACAGGGGATCAAAGTCGGTGGCCTGAAAGTTGTCCAACTTCAAGACCTGACCCATCAGCAGGGCCATGGGAAATTGCTGGTGAATCAGCAGGGCCAATGGTTGACCACTTTCAGTAGTGATACCCTCTGGTAAACTAACATAGCTATTGAAAATCACCATCTATAGTGGATTTACCCATTAAAAATAGTGATTTTCCATAGCTATGTTATTTCACTAGTGATATGCTTTGGAGGTAATGATATGTGGAGGGTTTCTGAATGTCTCTGATGAAGATCTAGAGTGTGGAGGGTCATCCCACTTTCGGGCACCTCAAAAATGATTGATTCACCAACTTTCAGTAAGTTAATAGTGGGATTTCTGGAAGATATGGAGGTTTCCATACATGGAGGTACCCGAAAACAATCGAACATATATGGTTTATCATGGAAAATCCCATCTATCAATGGATGATTTAGTTGCTGGAAGTTGGGAGAATCATCCCAGGTCCCTGTCGTCCTGGTTTCGTCCCCGAGGTTCCCCCACCTCCGTCTGACCCTCGGGCAGCTCGCACAACAAGCGCAGGCGTCCCTCAGACCATTCCGCTCTCCGCACAGAGTTGGCCGGCAGCACCTGCCGCTCCACCCACCATCATCCACTAAAAAAAATCCGGCATCCTCCCAACTTTTTGGGGATCACATACCTTTTGCATAGGATCGTGTCCAACGCGGACATCATCAACAAGAATTGGGTCTCCTATGGTCCATAGCCACCAAACCGTTTTTTTCCCCTCCAAACAAAAATCTGGGTGAAATTGGTCAGCTACTCAAAAATTACTTTACTTCGTGTGATCCCCACCGTGACATTTTTACATTTTCTGAATGGCAAATCTTCTGGCATTCTATCTGACATATCTTCTGGCATTCTATCTGGCAAATCTTCTGGCATTCTATCTGGCATATCTTCTGGCATTCTATCTGGCAAATCTTCTGCATTCTATCTGGCATATCTTCTGGCATTCTATCTGACATATCTTCTGGCATTCTATCTGGCAAATCTTCTGGCATTCTATCTGGCATATCTTCTGGCATTCTATCTGGCATATCTTCTGGCATTCTATCTGGCATTCTATCTGGTATATCTTCTGGCATTCTATCTGGCATTCTATCTGGCATTCTTTGTCCCATATCTTCCTACATGAGGTCCGGCAGGGAACACTTGGCGTGGATACTCGCGGTTGAGGTCCGGCAGGGAACACTGGGCGTGGATGGTCGTGGTTGAGGTCCGGCAGGAACACTGGGCGGGGATGATCGTGGTTGAGGTCCGGCAGGGAACACTGGGCGTGGATGGTCGTGGTTGAGGTCCGGCAGGGAACACTGGGCGTGGATGGTCGTGGTTGAGGTCCGGCAGGGAACACTGGGCGGTGATGGTCGTGGTTGAGGTCCGGCAGGGCACACTGGGCGTGGATGGTCGTGGTTGAGGTCCGGCAGGGAGCAGGAGGAGAGGAGACGAGGAGAGGAGACGAGGAGAGGAGACGAGGAGAGGAGACGAGGAGAGGAGGAGGAGGAGAAGGAGGAGGAGGAGGAGCAAGCAACTGACATAAAATCTAACAACCCTCACCTGGCAGGTGGGGAATCAGATCCAAACTTATCCAAACTTAAGTGGATTAGTTGTGGTTTCGAAGATGTTTCACAGACTTGGCCCATCAACATCTCTCAGCCCTGGAGCCCTGCCCGCACCTTAGTGGTGCCGGAGGATCCTGAGAAGGGGACCCAGCGGTAGCGTGTGGTTGTTCACGGGGGGTATATCAATGTATATCACAATGATATGGTGTATCCTTAAAAGAAAAAGAAATTAGGGGCTACATAGTCAAAATAAATACCAAAAAAACACGTACTGTATATTATTGCTGTATATTTCTTTGCTATACACACATGTACATATATATATATATATATGCGTGTGTGTGTGTGTGCGTAGTCTGTAAATAGATCCACAACCTTCCGCGAAGGGTTCGGCAAGTGGTATACTTAATGGGGGCAAGGATGGGCCAACATCAGGCAACTCAAGCATCAATTTCCAAGCAGTGAAGGAGGAGGAAAAAAGTAAACTAAATCAAATGAGCAAATTAGAACTGCGTTGCTACACCATTAAGAGCACCTTATTGTCCATCTAAGTGGTGTTCTAAAATATCTTCGCTGTAGAATGTCGCTTCAGGATGAGGATGAGGATGATGATGGTGGTGGTGGTGATGATGATGATGATGATCATGATCATGATCATGATGATGATCATGATCATGATCATGATCATGATGATCATGATGATTATGGTCATGATTGAAATCGGTGCACCCTATTTCCAAACACACCCATTCCTGACCACAAAAATCCTTGCTCTTTTGGGCAAGGTTCCTTGCCACCCAATGCTCTCCGCGTTGGCGGCGAACTTTCCGGTTTCTCCCTCGCAAATCACGTTGCTGACTGACAGCATGGCGATGACGCGGGAAGGGCCCAGTTTGGTGCGGAAAACTCACAGGTGATCACTGACATGAGATGGGAAAAACATGGAAAACTTTGTATTGTATTCTGTCAAATGCTTATTGGAGGGTATCCGCTTGACAGCTGCTTTCTCGGAGGTTTCGGAAAGATTTTCTGCAAACAAATCTGCACACGGTCCTTTTTTTGCACATGATTTTGTAGAGAGAGGCGCTCGTCAGGATGCTTCAAGTGAAGGCTATCTTGATCGCACCCTGTATTGGCATGTCGATGCGCACTGATCTCCATTGATAAGGGCACTTACTTAAAATCAAGCATTGCAGTAGAAAAAAAAACGTCTTTTTTTGAATCTCCGGTTTGGAACCACCAGGATTTTTGTGTCAATATCTCTCAGTCGATCCAAGCGATCGGCTTGAGCCCGTGGAGAAAATCCGTCGTTACACCTGCCTGACTTGTCTGGAGATCTTGGAGGTGTCGGTAGGTGTCAGAAATGTACTAAACATGATCCACAATATCTAATCAAGAAAATATGAGATCATGATTATCACCCTATTTTGTTACAAAATTACTCTACATACATACTGTATAATCACTATGTTACCCCGAATTTAAATCCTTGTAACGCTAAGATCACTCAGCATCACAATTGCCTCTGCAGCTCAAAGGTTACAGTACATACCGTCCCCATGTCCGATGGCCTAAGTGCTCCACAGTTTTCGATGGTACAAGGTGGTGCCCCCAAAATTGTTTGATAAGCTCGTTCAAAAATAGGTTACCCTCTGGTAATTTAACATAGCTATTGAAAATGGCCATAGAAATAGTGGATTTATCCATTAAAAATGGTGATTTTCCATAGTTATGTAAACGTTTACCAGAGGGTAACTGATTTTAACTGTTGGATTTATGGTAGATATATCTATAATTAGTTAATATGGTCATCGATGGGGCCTTATAATGGTGAACCAACAAACATCGCTCACCACTTGTTTGATGGAAAGGTTGATACCATGATCCACCGGGCAAACATGCCAATTAAATGTAATTAAGAATCATTGAGATGCTGACTTTGCTGTGGCTAATCTCTACCCCATGTACCACCCCTGCATGGGATCTGTAAAGATGGATGGGATAGATTTGTAGCATAACCGAGGCTAAAGCGTACAGCTAAAGACTCGAAACCAGTTGCTCTGTGGTTTCCCTACTGTGAGCGAAGCACTCAACTTGCAGAAAAAATGGTTGCCAAGGCCATATGCGACCAACATTGCCATGTCTGGCATGTCTGACATCTTGTGGTGTACCTAAACTTCAAGCTGACAAGTGTTGGTAATTCATCAGAGCGTGGCCAATCCTAGACATCCGGCATGTTTGTTTTAAAGCTGCTTTCTAACATCCCCATGTATAGCCCAAAAGAGTGCTAAACCATTTACCACCCATCGAAGATCTCCCCAGGCCCCAAGCGTCCAAAGCGTTTGAAGCCCCACATCCCATGCGACGCACATCACGGTTCCTGGAGGAACAAAGCTGCGACATCCATGGCCTTCCAGTCATATTGGCAACAACTACAAGGTGGTGCCCCACACTTAGCTAAGTTGGTTTGTAAGTAATTAAGTAAGCTAGGACTAGGAATTGTGGTGGATATACCTATAGTAGGGATTGTAAAACGACATACATTTCAGGGTACCACACCAAAGGGCAACCGCCAAACACTATGGGCTTATATGGGCTTCATGTTGCCCGCAACCCTGAGGGGTTGGTGCGAGTTACTGTAATAACCCTGTTGGCCTTATTTGGGATGTGACCTGACTGGAGGATCATTCCAACTGTAGCTGTGGTCAGTGCTGGCGTCTAAGTGGGATGACCCGAACCAATACCTTAAAAGGGGTGCACCCCCAAAGGGATCGCCACAAGAAGTGCCCTTCCCCAGAATAAATTGCAATCTTTTAGAGGTTCCAAAGAAACATAAAGAAACACATCTTGAAAGCAACAACACTTTGCCATGCTTCCAGCCCCTACGACTTATCCAGTCCAAGGATCCAGTAGACCCGTGGTGTCAAGAAGAAGCGATCCACACCCTGGCGATGGCGGGATAGCATGAGTATGTTCTCATGCTTCTTCATGTTACCCAAAAGGGGGAATAAAAAAAACGCATCACCTAAAAACTGTTTTGGGGCCTGGATGGGCCTGGCATCTTCGGTGAATCTCATCTTTGAATCTTTGATGGGATCACCTTTGGAACACCGTGCGCTTATGGGCTCAAGAAGTTAGGTCAGGGATCACCTCTCTTTGGGGAGCCTCGGTCAGGGTCCGGTCAAAACGAACAATTTTTTTGCACCCAAATTTGGGCATAGAAAGTAATTGTTTTGCAGCAACTTAACCATACAATCAGCCCATGAGGTCACGGCATCCCCAACCCCAACCTCATCTTCCCATCCGCACACAAAAAAATCACACTTTTTTGTGGACATCTGATGACATATGGATTCTTTACCCATTCCGAATTGGTCTTTCCCTTTGCCATGTCCTTTTTGTTGTCCTATGGTATGCCTAAGGGCCCATCCCAAATTTCCATCCCTGCGAACTGCATTGTTGGCTACATTGGCTACATCCCCAGTTTGCTGCTGAAGTTACACCATGCTAAACCCCCATCTTTCCATCCCTTCCAGACCGTACAGCTTCTTCCCAGCACTGGTTTACAGGAACATTTTTACCGGAACCAAATAATTTCCATAATTTTTCAGGATTTGAATCAATGATATTTCAACTGCAAACTTTCCAAACGGAACTAAGGCAGTTCCACCAAGATCATCTTTTAAGTTGGTTTTCATCCACAATTCTGCCACTTCAACAAAATGTTCCAGTCAAATTCCCAACCCCCCATCCGACCCATCCTCTTCCTCTTCCCCGTTAACCATCATCCAATGTCATCCACCGCGCCTCGTATCTCCTTTCCTTCACCTCCTGCCGCAGCAGCTGCGCCGTTTCGTTCGCCTCCGGTGGTCCGCGTTCGCAGCAAGCGATGACCTGCCAGTAGTCGTCCTCGCTGGGCTCGACGGACTGCTTCTCACGGGACCAGAGGTCCTGCGACGTAACGGAGAACGATGAAAAAAACCATTAAAGGCGCGCACACAAAAAAAATTATACATGTATATACACATACATATATATATATATACATATATATATATATGTTATACAGATATGTATATATATATATTAGTGTTGTTTGATATTGTACTATAGAGAGCATTTACTAAATTTACTTATTCTTTGTGGTGGTCTAGTGAGATGCAATATAGACATACATCCCGGCATATGTTGGTGTATGTGAGTGTGATATGGAATCATATTGGAGCAAACCGGCAACCATCTGTTGATGTCTGTTGCAACTACCAATATTGATGCCTCACTTCTTGGCCCATACGCATATCACCAAAGATATATCAACAGCAAGAATAACAAGTTGAGCAATCACTTATTGTTGCTGTTTACGATCGCAAGAAAATTGCCCAAGTGACACATATTGGCCACATTGGGATCCTATCCCAACAGCCCTCAGCTCCTCTAATCTTTGTAGAGCTGATTCCCATGATGGCTCCAATGGATCGTACCAGCCTGGAAGTGGACAAAGATCGAAGTCGAACTGCTGGATCCCAGAATCGGTCTGAGAACAGATCTACAGAAAAAAAAACAGAAACAATTTAAATTTAAGGTGTTAAAATCCTGCTTTCATACATGATATATATATATATATATATGTATGATTATATATGTGTGTATGTGCATATATGCATATAGATAAATACATATTTAAACAAAATAAAACATACATGTAATAATCTATATATATATATAAATCCAAATTATCTTGAACCAATCCATTCATCGGATCGGAAGAACCATACTAGTGACCCGAGTGACCCTGGGCAGCTCGAATAGGATGAGTTTCAATCTGGCCCCTCTGCCACTTGCATTCTGTCTGATGCAGTTTACATGCTTGATCGCAACGAGTTCATATGATCCAGGTTGGCTATCTATTGCGCTATCACCGTGGATATTTGCATCACAAACACCCCAACAGATTTCAGAAAAACTTGTATTTTTTGTCTAAGTGTCTCCAGCAAAACTGTATATATTGGTCCTATTGGTTTCCACCCTCTTCAGCTGTGATAGTCAGCCAGAATCCATTCATAATATGTCATTCTGGCGCAGCAATTCCACCCTGCTAATGCGAAAAAGCAGGACCCCTTAAAATAACAGATTCACTACTAAAGCAGGATTTCTGACGGTATTAATTAGGTGGGTGAGATGAAAAAGGTTGCCATGCTTAACAACTGGGGCATCTCCTTTATTAGTATGTTCCACGTCCGTGTTTTTTTTAAATTCCACTGTGTGATGACAATGTTTTAATTATCATACCGATCATACCTTTGGTTGCCGGAATAAACAATCGTTGAAGTGTCAACCTCTGGCAGGCTTAAGAAATTACACGCATCTTTATACTAATTGCTAGCAATTGACAAGTGCGGCTCTTGCCATGCATGGCAAATCCCAAATGCCTTTTAAAATATATAGAGATAGCCGGGCATTATCACAAGAAATAACATAGCTAAACTTATTATTATTGTTGCTTACATCCCCTGTTTTGTTGGTAAACAACCCGTTACCAAGGTTCACGCGGGTTAATCTCCTTAAATGCTTCCCGTTTTTCCTGCAAAAGCAACAGCACTAGCCAAACTGTCCTCTAAAAACAAAATTGTTGTTCAGGCCCAATTGTTGATTTACCCATTTACCCCAGATCATCCCATGATATTTAGAATCTAATCCCAAAGAACTCCAATTTACCCCACATCAAGCTGAAAAGACTTTTTCTTGTTTATCCTAGATGGTGTCCATTTATACCAATTATATCCAACTATCCCATTCTGATCATCCAGTTAAACCGTCAGTGATCCCATAATTATATCCATTACCCTCCTGTAAATTAACATAGACCCTGAAAATGACCAATTTATTGTGGAAACTAGTCTTCCAACCCCTATCTGGCAGGGTCTATGAATAATTACTGGAGGGTAAATCAAATTATATCCTATTTATGCCAACAATCCTAGATGGTTTTCATTTATGCCAAAATCATACCAAGCCAATGCTTTTTCCAATGGTTTAGATACCAACTCAACTAGCCCATTTAAAGCTTCAAAGGTTTCCCACCTTGGCCTGTCTCCATCTCTTCAACCTCCGAACGCAGCCACTGCCACTGAACAGCGCGAGCGCCGCAACCATCGCCGTTGCAGAAAATGCGAATGCGGAACCTGGGGTGGCTGGGGCGGTATCGATCCATCCATCCATCCATCCAATGTATCCATAAGATTATCCATATCTATGGGGCCATTTATGTATAAGATGTGCAGAACAAGCATGTATATGTATATATACAAAGTATGTATAATATGTATATATACATATATATATATATATATACACATACATATATAGACCAATACATACATTAAGCATGTATGTTTCTTTACCGACGGTACACTTGGATGAGATGCTTGGGTAAAGCCAGGTAAAAGTATCATCCGTGATCATCTGTAGATGATCTGGGTCATGACGCCTCAAGCATTGCATAATTCAAGCCACAAACATACAAACATGGGGATACAAACTGGCAAAATTGGAGATAGAAGCCGCCTTTAATCGAGTTTGAACACAACATTTACCTTCCAATACCTTCCATCAAATTGACACAGACGCCCGAAATGGATGATAAGGTAAATGAATCATGTAAACATTGTAAACTAATCCATAATAAGATCCATTTACCTATTATCCATTATTATCCATTATTATATCCATTCTTATCCATTACTCATCTTCCAACATCCAACAACCCCTCTTTTTGGTCTACGGTCGATGTGCCGCGCCACACGTCCCCCGCACGGCCATCCAAGCTCCAGTTCACGCCATGGCCCTCGTCGTCGGGGCCCGCCACGGCACCGGCGACGCCGGGGTAGAAGACCCGCGACCAGTCGCCTCGCTGATCGTCTGAATGGAGGATTCTACACATCAGACGATTGGTTGGTGGTTGAAAAACCCCATCAGTTAGGACAGTTAGGAAGATTCGGCCATCAAACATGGGATTGAAAGTGAAAATAACATCTGCAGTAACCTATATAGTTGTCTGGTTGGTGGTTTCAACACCTCCGAAAAATATGAAAGTCAGTTATAGGATGATTGTTCCCAATATATGGAAAAAATCAAAGCCACGTTCCAAACCACCAACCAGAAAAAATCGTTGAATTTCAAGAAGAACCTCCAAACAAATGGAAAACATTGAAAAGGCATGAATAGGTTTAGAGTTTAGACGAGTTTACTCGCATTTTACTTTTCCATTTTGTGGTGGTTGCCAAAAATGACTGGTAATTATCTGATGAATTCAACAAACAAATGGAGCAAGTCAAATTGGTGTTGAACTACAGCATATGATAGCATATGTGAAATGTGTTTCAAAGAAATATCATCTAACAAAACAACGGAGGGGTCAACCAAAAATAATGTATTTGAAGATCAATCGTTTTTTTTTGACAAGCAAACATGGAATAATTAGCCACGCAAACATAAGCTCGAGCGTGCGTTTAAGCAACACAAACTACAGTTTGAACGAACCCAAAACCGAATCTTGACAAAGAAAAGTGAGTCATGACATGACCTTGGTTAATTAATGTAAAACTGGTCAACATCTTGCATCAAAACTCACTTTACCTGCAACCACTGCAAAATCATCTTCGGTTGGCTGTTGCCACTGCGAGCTCCCTTTCCCTGCTTCATGCATGTTGTTCAAACAAGTTTCCAAGCTGCATTTTAAACATGTTTAAAGAACATATTTCACTGGCTCGCAGCCCATCGATCTATAGATCGCCCACCAAACCACACTGCCATCAATGCCACCGCGGATCGATCTCGGACGATCCTGTTGCTGCATGTTGCTGATTTTTGTTGGAATGCGCCCAATGTCTTCACATGTTCAGGTTTGAAACTAGAGGATGGGTGAAGGATTAAAGACAGGTTTGTTTTCAAAAACACCATTGACATGTGGAATGTATGCACATGGTTCAAAGAAGAACCGTGGGGCCCGTATCACCGCCACTAGAATCCATCCAAAGGCCCGTGGTTTCTGACATCCCTTGGCCGGACCCTCAAGTTGGCGCCGAAGCCTCTGGTCAATTCACCAAGGGCCCTGAAATCCATGAACATCACCCATTTTGAGTGGAAACTCATCTTCTGGCAGGGTCTATCTAATCATGAAGCTATCTATCTAATCTTCTGGAAACTCATGAAATTCATGAAAATCACTAATCATCAACCCCTATCTGGCAGGGTCGTCATGTTAATTTACTGGACAGTAACCACAGCAAGTCTCTGAAATTCACCGCCAGGATGAGACAAGGCGACCTCCACAGCAAACTCCTGGCCCGTTTCGGAAACCGTTTCGATCAGCTGGCCATGACAAACCATCACCAAGTGCAACAAAAAACACACATGCCGGCCTCCCCAAATGTGTATCATATATATATATATTATATATAATCTGCTTAAACTTAAATATCCATATTATATATATATATGATACATAAATATAAACACCAATTTACACACACCCATGACGTAGCTGGATGAATCATGTCTTTCGTCCATCGTCTCCTTAGGGCCGACCCGCTGCATCGCTTGAAACTCCCAGTCGCTCCAACTTCCTGACTGGCGGAGCTGGGAGCGACTGGCACGGGAATCGCGAACTGGCTTTAAAAAAGGCCATGGATAGATTGAATTATATAACTTATAGGTGTGTATATATATATAATATAACTTATAGATATAACTTTGATAAGCAAAAAGTGAGGGACCTACATTTGAATACATTTGATAGATCACTGTTGCTTGCCATCAGATACTGGGACGATCCAAACGAGGATGCTTCCAACATCAATGTGTAGGGGAATTCCACTCCCTCTGTAGATCATTTCCGAAAGGGAAAACCATGGATTTCCACTTCTAAGTGGTGCATGTTTACTGGAGGGTAACCATGCAGTGCACTAATAAACCCTCCGGTAAACTAACAGTTTGCTATTGAAATTTGCCATTGAAATAGTTGATTAACCTGTTAAAACTGGTGATGTTCTATAGTTTTTTGTTAGTTTAGAGGGTAGTTCAGCCCAGAATCCTACTACATCCAACTGGTTCACCTCCAAATTCTTGCTATTCACGGTCCCGTTGGACCAGTTGGACCAGCTAGCCCGCCTGAGGAAATCGACGACTTGGCCGACTGGGTAAAGAAATTGGCATTTATCCATGGGTTATTGGGATGTAATATTATTATGTATTACTATTACTATTGTATTACTATGCATATACTAAATCATATGAATTATATATATAATATAATGTATTATGTATATGTAATCCCCACATAATTATCCCCATTCTATATGTATACATATATACAGGGGACATTTTATGGGGATATAAATCCGATACAACCAACAATTCAATTCCTGGGAAACCAACTGGATGTGTGCCCAGATGGGCGGATATACCCAACGAAATAATTATACATTATATATATATACCCTTAGCTTCTGAACCCTAGAAATTTGTCGGGTTTAAATATAAACCCTGGGTTTACCCGTGATCCCCATAAATTCCTCGGGTTTTCACAACAAACCTCGGGTTTTCCCAATATCTCTCCGAAATGGTCTTCCTGCCCGTTATCCACAGGTGTTTGGCGGCCACTGGATCTTGGTTTCAAGCTCTGCATGGGGTATACAGAGCATTTATCATAAGAAAATGTGATGGATGGGATTCCAGAGATCCAGAAAAAGGTTGGAAATGTGTCTAAAGAATATATATTTATATTCAATATATAATATAATATATGATAACTGTTTTTTTAAATCCTTTGTGTCGATTCATACATATACAAAGCATATATATGTTTTCTGGCCCCTTTCCATCATTGATTCTCAACCATCTATGATTCAATTCACACCCTGAAGCAATACTTCACCATCCGAAAAAAGGCAAAGGGTTGATTTGGTCCGTAGAGTTCATGGTTTGACATACTTTCCACCAAAAAATCCTGAAGGATCAATAGGTCAAATAATGGCAGAACATTCCCAAAAGCAAACCATGCGACATATCCACGTAGAGGCCAATAAAAGGCTGATCAGATTGTGAACTGGACACCACTTCAACCTACAAACCCTGTTTCTCACACCACCATGTGTGGCGCTGCGCCGCAATGGTTTTTGCGCTGCTGGACGATCATTGTGTCAGGCTCCCCAGTTTCAGGTCCTGCATGGAGCAGAATGGCAATGAGATAAAGGAAAATAAAGACATGAAACCTTTGAGAGAACATCTTGAGTAATCCTGCAACACCATGGTTGGCAACGAGCTCTGTGTTATTCTGTAAGTGTTTTGGCTCAGCTAGCCAGCAACATGACCCGGTCAACAGACATCGAAGGGGTCCATGTCGAATGGGACGCGGACCAGGAGCTGAGAAATTTCTTACGGGAAGGAGGACAAGTGTTGGAACCACCGGCATGTGCAGACATTTCGACATGCGTCAAAAATGCATCTCTTTTGGGACCTCTTCTGGTTCGCATGGCTCAGAAAGAGCATAGGGACCTCCCTGGTATTGACCAGTTGAAAGATGAATTGGAGACACTGCTGAAGTCTAACAAACAGGGAATGGAGTTAGATTTTCTTGACCTCTCTAAGAGGGCGTGGGCTCTCAAGAAGTTGTGTGGCTTTACCAAAGCCAAAGCGCGTCGCCGAGAAGTCTCGACTGCTACTGGATTGCGATTATATCAACATGCCAATCTTGGTAAAACATGTTTTATCAAAGCAATTTTTGGTGTCAGTCTCAAAGTGCATATTTTCTGGAAAGAAGTGGGAGTAAGGTTCGGAAATTCCAGCAATTGGTACTCGTATTGGATCCTATGCTCCAGGCAGGCTTGTCATATCAGGCATCATGCATATGTATTTCCCAAGCATAGGTTTGCCCCAGCTCCCTACCCATACTCTCTGCAGGCCGAAGTCGATGCTGTGAACGCGAGAGTCGCAGAGCGATTGAAGAAACGGGGTCGCAAGGACAGGGAGGGGTGGACAATGGTAGGTGGACACTGGTCAAGTTTTTTAAAGAAAAACTGTTGGCAACAAGTTTTTGTTGACATCAACTCAATTGTCAATTGGTTTTCTTTCAGATGAGGACACGAGGGCTGACGATGAAGATGCTTGGGACGATTCGTCATCTTCTGATTCTTCTTCAGAAGAGGGTGAGGGTGGAGAGAATAGAAATGAAGAACCTGGTGATGCAAGGGATGATGCAAGGAATGATGAAATGGGTGATGATGGGGTTGATGGAAGGGATGCCCCTGCGGCTGCTAGTGCAGAACCACCTGCTGCTGCCCCAGTCGAAGACGCTTCCCTCCCAGCAACTTCAAGTAGCATTCCCAATCCAACCGAACCAGAAGTTTCCCCAGAGATTCCGACACCTGCCACTCCTGCTTCTTCCAGTTCAACACCTAGCGCCTTCCCTTCTACAGCATATGTATGTTTAATTATGTTTATACTTTTTTGTAACCTCTCTCAAATAAAACATGCCCACAAGAGTTCAACCAATTGGGTTCTTTGCCTTTCCCGGCTGCCCAGGTGCTGAGTCACAAGAATCTTTGCGCAAGAAGAGAGAAGAGATCATGGAGAAGTTGAAGAAGTTTCTTGGCAAGGTTATCTTGTCGATCTACAGCAGATTAGAGCGGGGCCTACGTTATTTCGATTAAGGTGATGTAGGTCTCAATGGTTCTTCATAATTCAACAATTGTTTTTGGTGTTGCTAGAATGCTGTTGATTCAAATGAGTTTTTGAAAAGGCTCAGAGAGGAAAAGAAACCTGCTGCTGCATCCAGCACAACATCAGCCCCGTCAACAGCAGCACCGATGCCAGAATCAGAAGGACTGCAATTTGTTTTTGTTATATATATAATGTTTGCACCTGATTAAAGAGATGGTACCCTATTGTGAGAAATTTCTTGCTCCTAATTCAGTCACATGCCAATTGTTGGGGGGGGGGCCTCTATTGTGAGAATTTTTTTCCAGATTTTTTTTTTTTAAAAAAATATTTTTCCAAATGCTTTAATTAACTTTACTTTTCTTTTTAATTACTTTTCTATTTATGTTTATTTTTAATTAATTTTATTTTAGATGCCTTATCAAACCCTTATTTAAAAAAAACAGCATCCAGACAATTTTTCAAAGGGGTACCTCATGAGTGGCTCAGTTACTCAATAATATAATTGTTTGGATGGTACTCTATTGTGAGCACCAACTTTTGGGATTGAAAAAAAAAAACAAAACCCTTTATTAAACCCTTATTAAAAAACAGCATCCAGACAATTTTTCAAAGGGGTACCTCATGATTGGCTCAGTTACTCAATAATATAATTGTTTGGATGGTACTCTATTGTGAGCACCAACTTTTGGGAGTGATAAAAAAAAACAAAACCCTTTCTCCACCTTTCTTTGAGTAAATCTGGTGCCTTTACTTTAGAAAGCCATATTTGTGTTAAAGCTTTAAAATGTAAGGCTTTCCAAATAATTAGATGCCTTATTAAACCCTCATTTAAAAACAGCACCCAGACAATTTTTCAAGGGGATACCTCATGATTGGCTCAGTTACTCAATAATATAATTGTTTGGATGGTACTCTATTGTGAGCACCAACTTTTGGGAGTGAAAAACAAAACAAAACCCTTTCTCCACCTTTCTTTGGGTAAAGCTGGTGCCTTTACTTTAGAAAGCTATATTTGTGTAAAACTTTAAAATGCAAGGTTTTCCAAATAATTAGATACCTGAAAAAACCATAATTGGTTCAGTTACTCAATAATATAATTGTTTGGATGGTACTCTATTGTGAGCACCAACTTTTGGGAGTGAAAAAAAACATTTTCTTCACCTTTCTTTGGGTAAAGCTGATGCCTTTACTTTAGAAAGCCATATTTGTGTTAAAACTAAAATGCAAGGTTTTCCAAATAATTAGATGCCTTATTAAACCCTTATTAAAAAACAGCACCCAGACAATTTTTCAAGGGGATACCTCATGATTGGCTCAGTTACTCAATAATATAATTGTTTGGATGGTACTCTATTGTGAGCACCAACTTTTGGGAGTGATAAAAAAAACAAAACCCTTTCTCCACCTTTCTTTGGGTAAATCTGGTGCCTTTACTTTAGACAGCCATATTTGTGTTAAAGCTTTAAAATGTAAGGCTTTCCAAATAATTAGATGCCTTATTAAACCCTTATTAAAAAACAGCACCCAGACAATTTTTCAAGGGGATACCTCATGATTGGCTCAGTTACTCAATAATATAATTGTTTGGATGGTACTCTATTGTGAGCACCAACTTTTGGGAGTGAAAAAAAAAACAAAAGCCTTTCTCCACCTTTCTTTGGGTAAAGCTGGTGCCTTTACTTTAGAAAGCGATATTTGTGTAAAACTTTAAAATGCAAGGTTTTCCAAATAATTAGATACCTGAAAAAACCATAATTGGTTCAGTTACTCAATAATATAATTGTTTGGATGGTACTCTATTGTGAGCACCAACTTTTGGGAGTGAAAAAAAAACAAAACCCTTTCTCCACCTTTCTTTGGGTAAAGCTGGTGCCTTTACCTTAGAAAGCCATATTTGTGTTAAAGCTTTAAAATGCAAGGTTTTCCAAATAATTAGATGCCTTATTAAACCCTTATTAAAACACAGCACCCAGACAATTTTTCAAGGGGATACCTCATGATTGGCTCAGTTACTCAATAATATAATTGTTTGGATGGTACTCTATTGTGAGCACCAACTTTTTGGAGTGAAAAAAAAAGCAAAACCCTTTCTCCACCTTTCTTTGGGTAAAGCTGGCCCTTTCACTTTAGAAAGCCATATTTGTGTTAAAGCTTTAAAATGCAAGGTTTCCCAAATAATTAGATGCCTTATTAAACCCTTATTAAAAAACAGCACCCAGACAATTTTTCAAGGGTATACCTCATGAGTGGCTCAGTTACTCAATAATATAATTGTTTGGATGGTACTCTATTGTGAGCACCAACTTTTGGGAGTGAAAAAAAAACAAAACCCTTTCTCCACCTTTCTTTGGGTAAATCTGGTGCCTTTACTTTAGAAAGCTATATTTGTGTTAAAGCTTTAAAATGTAAGGTTTTCCAAATAATTAGATGCCTTATTAAACCCTTATTAAAAAACAGCACTCAGACAATTTTTCAAGGGGGTACCTCATGAGTGGCTCAGTTACTCAATAATATAATTGTTTGGATGGTACTCTATTGTGAGCACCAACTTTTGGGAGTGAAAAAAAATAAAAGTAAATTAAAAGTAAATTGAAATCAATTGAAAGTAAATTGAAAGTAAAGTAAAAGTAAATTGAAATCAATTGCAAGTAAATTGAAATCAATTGAAAGTAAATTAAAAGTAAATTGAAATCAATTGAAAGTAAATTGAAATCAATTGAAAGTAAATTAAAAGTAAATTGAAATCAATTGAAAGTAAATTGAAATCAATTGAAAGTAAATTAAAAGTAAATTGAAATCAATTGAAAGTAAATCGAAAGTAAATTAAAAGTAAATTGAAATCAATTGAAAGTAAATTGAAAGTAAATTAAAAGTAAATTGAAATCAATTGAAAATAAATTGAAATCAATTGAAAGTAAACTAAAAGTAACTTGAAAGTAAATTGAAAGTAAATTGAAATCAATTGAAAATAAATTAAAAGTAAATTGAAATCAACTGAAAGTAAATTAATTAATTAAAAGTAAATTGAAATCAATTGAAAGTAAATGGAAATCAATTGAAAGTAAATTGAAATCCTTTCTTAATTTGATTGACCAAAAAAATGTTGAGGGGGGGCAAAAAAAAGTGCGAGTTATAGAGTATCCTCAAATTGTTTGGGGGGGGGGGCCCCTCACACTAATCAGATGCAAACATTATATAGTTTCTTATGTTTAAACATCTTCTGGGGCGGGGAACAGTACAAAGACTTTTCCAGAGTTTGTTTGACATGGCAGGACGACACTTGCCATGCGCAGACTTTGCGGAAACCTTACCTTTGGATGATATCTGTGTGCACCCAGTACCAGCGCCACCTCCTGAACCAGCCACAGTTTCCCCAAACATTTCACCAGAAGAAAGGCGCAAAAAGTATCAGAATGTCAAGGGATGTGGTGAGGAGACCATTGAGCTAGGATCAACACCTGAGCCTAGCCGATCAACAGGAACCTCTGACAAGAACGACAACAAAAAGGTTGAGAACGATTGCAGCAAGAAGCCAAAGGTCAAAGAGCAGGAGAAGTTTACTGATTCTGAAGAAGAGGCTGGGGCGCTGATGGGTTTGGGATGGTTTTGGACAGGGGGTCAAGCATGCAGCAGGGTCCTTACCTAACAATAATTTGCAAAACAAATTTTGATTAAGATTGTCACCAAGATCCTGTCGCTTTGATACCTGTTGAAAGTGTTCCAAGATTGGGCTGTGAGGACGGCGACGAGTTTGTGGACAGGCAGCAGCAGTTGAGTCTTCGCAAAACAACAGGACGAGGGCGGGGCAAAGGTAGAGGTCGGGGCAGAGGTGCCAAGCCAGCCAAAGACATAGACCATGAGAAAACCAAGGACAGCGCTGCTGAGGTTGACAAAAAGAGGAGGAAAATAGCTACCCCCCAGAATTCTCATGAGCCATTCTGGACGGAGGAAATGGAGCAAGAGTGGGCAAAGTGGAAAGGGTATGGAGAAGAGGATTGGCTCGAAGAAGATTGGAAGAATGATTGGGGGCAACCTGGTAAAGCCTTTGATCGGTATGTGAACATGGATGGGCAGGTATCCCTTCAGAAGTTGAAGTGCATGGAAGGTTCAAACCACAAGAGTTCGGGAAAGGCTGAAAAGACGGGTGGGGATAAGCCAGGTGAGAAACAGGATGTCGAAGGCAAGAAAAAGGCCAAGAAAGTAGACAACACCTCGGGTAAGAAAAGGAAGGAACCAGAAGTTCAGGATGTTCAGGATGTTGAGGATGAAAGTGATGAGGAACCTGTACAACCAGCCTTAGATCAGAAACAACAGGTGAATGCAATCGCAAAGTTCTTGAGAGCCTTCAAAGCAAAAGGTTACAAGCTCAAGAAGCATGAGGACATCACAGAAGAGATGAAGACCCAGTGGAAGAAAGATTTCCCTGTTACGGATGAATGTCGATACTCAAACTATTGGAAACGGCCGGCCACAGGGGTGTTCCTCAAAAGCGAAAAAAAGGATTTCGGTTCTTACTCGGTGTCTAGTGAGCTGGGGCCTTTTGACCTCCGACTGGCGGCATCTTTGAAAGCGGCTGGTTTGCTGGCCACTCGAAAAAAAAAGATGAATAATCACTTTAGGTTCCATTCCCTAAAAAAACCACTCAAAAGGGGGGGGGTTCCTTTTTGGGTGTTTTTTGTGACTTCTACGCAGTTTTTAAGTTTCTGTTTGTGTTGCAGTTTTTCCGAAATCTGACTTACTTGCAACTCTTTCCGGCTCAGGTGAACTACATCGAGGAGAAAGCGAACAACCCACGTGAAGCGGACTCCAAACTGAGTGAGGATCCTGACATTCTGAATCTGAGGGAAGCCTTGAAGGTTTCATGTGCAAAGGCAGTCAAACGTGTTGCCAAAGCTTAGAGCTCTGAACGTTGCCCAATGGGGCAGTGACGTCTAAACATTGTTTTGGGGTTATTAACAACAAGTTGCAATATCAACTTGCATTATATTGGGGACAGCAAGTACATGCTGACGTGCGTGTACCATGCTTTGAGGTTAGGGGCGGCTGCTGGTGTTTGGGAGGTTGGCGGGGCTGGCTCAGTGATCACAACCAATGAAAAATAAATGGGAAATCATTATGTAAAAAACAGCAGCTGCATTTTCTGCAGAGTATGTAACATTATTGTTGATAGACTCATATCCTCATATATGTTTCAGTATGCCCCCCTATATGTACCAACCTATATATTCTATATACTATATATGTACACCTCTAGTCTATTGTATATACACCCTGAATATAATATATTGTTTTTTATTTATTATTTATTTACCCCTTCATGCCTGCCTAAAGTTATTTGTCAGCGACTGCTGGCGCCAGACCTACGACTACTATGAATTCTATGCTGGAGTGGGCAACATCACGCGGCAGGCACGTTCATGTGGGTACAAAGCATTGCGCTTTGACATCCTCGACAACAAGAAGCCTACGAATAGGAAAAGTAATTTCATGGACCTGGCGAGCCCTTCTGGTTGGGCGTTGCTGGTTGGAAAAATTCATATTTCCCTAAAACCTCAACGTAAATGGTGGGGAGTAGCAGTTATTTGTTTTATAAAAACTGGGGCACAAATCTAAAATGTTTCCCAATGGGGCATGTTCCAATTTCAAGTCATGTCATGTCTACCAGAAAGCAGTATAGCCTAGGTTGGCAGTGGTGGCCTTGCTCCGGGCAAAGATTGGAAATTCCCCAGCCCATTTTGCAATGAAGTGTTCGTCGTTGTGCCGAATGAACATCGGGACGTCTCGAAGGGGCCCTTGTTGCAGCCTTGGCTTTCATGAATACCCCTCCGTACTACTTAGCAACAAGTTGCTTGAAAGGAGCCGGGTTTACCAACAAGAAGTTGCTTTTATTTTTCCAGTGGTCTTTTTGGGAACAAGTTGAAGAAATCGTCATTTTGATGGTTTAAAACCCACCCTATCCAAAACCAACGGTCCTTTGTGCAATACCTTCAGGACTTGCTGCCTGGTGTTGTTGGCAACAGCACTGGGTGCTGCATGGACCCTTGAACAACCAGATGGTTCTGTCCTAGAATTCTACCCGGCGTGGCGAACAGTGATGCAAAGCATTTTTGCAATTGGAGGTCCCAGAGCAGTATCTGTCCAACATTTGGCACGGGCTTGGCTTCCCAAAATCCTATTTTCTTCATCAATATCAATAAATATTATATGTTCTGTATTGATAGGGGTTTTTAGTTTCTTTGAATTTCCTAAACCTGTACTGGTGGACCAACAACTCTGAGGTATGCAAGGTGAAGTGGTGGATGCAACATTATTCAGCAAAAACACCAAAGCGCCACTACGGATATGCCAACACACGGGCTGTCATGGAATTGGACAGGGGAAAGTTGACAAAGGACCAAAGGAAACCCAGGCATGAACGAATCAAAACAGCTGATGCCTACTACGACAAGCATGGCGTTCGAAGATACAAAGGTAATGCCAACTTACGCCCAACTGAGAAACTTGAATCTGATTATTTTGGCGTTCTATTGGCTTATTTTGTTCACAGGTAAATGATAAGGCTGTAGTATATCTGTATAAAATATACATGCTTATATTTATTACATGTTATTTATTATGATATATAATGTTATATTATAATATATAATTATATATGATATATAATGTTATATTATATATAGATCAATCATATGTAGATTCTTGATTGAAACTGGTAGTATTGTATTGTATGATCTCCCCATATCACCCCTTTGCCAATCACACAGCCTGCCTGGCTTGCTGCCTGGCCCAGGATATACCCCATGCCATTTGCCCGGCGCCTCGTGGATTTGCTGGAGCCGATGAAAGAAACGGCCAAAGGGTCTCCTGTGGCACCAGTCCCAACACCGAAGGCCGTTGAGACTTTCAACCAATGGCCAGAGGTGAACCCTGCCGATTGGTCATTTGCTGATTTTGGGGAGATGTTTGCCTATTTAAGGGGCAATCGTCACTTGATAATCCCCGAAGAATGGCGTGGGACGATTCCTGACCGTCTCTAGGACCCATGAGATAATTAGGAAATGGTTTGATGCCCTCAAAATGGACATATAGTTTCAATTGTTTTCCATTGTTTTCCCATATTCAGATTTTGTGGGGTTCGAAACCTTAAAATGTTGTTTATATCACAATGTTTTTTGATTTTTTTCAATCCCAAGATGGAAAAGTTCGGGTCGGTGATTCATACCTATAACAACCCGTGATCAACCCATGATTTACCCGTGATCAACCCGTGCTTTATCTATGTTAACCCGTGATTTCAGAGAAAAACCCCGGGTTTCCAAAACAAACCCAGGGTTTCCCGAACCCGTGATCAACCCGTGATCAACCCGTGATTTACCCATGACCACCCGTGATAATTTCATGGGTTTGAACCTCCCGAAATTGATTATTTTTTTCAATGTTTTTTCACACATTTTAAGGTATTTTGGGGCTCCCAAAACCTGCACAAATTGGATTTTGAGACGGTTGAGGGCAACATGCCAAAATTCAAAAAAATCAATTGGTTTTGGAACTACCAAAGCCTAATCCGAAAGCAGCTGCATATTTGGGAAAATGCTGGACTCTGGCCATAGCCGTGCCTTTCTTCTTGCATTTTGAAATTGGATTAAAATCATGTATCACCATTGGTTTCTTTCGCATTGTAGATTGTGCATGTTTGTCTCACATGCAGCCATTTCAAAATCTTGAGTCCCAGGCCCTTAGCAAAATGTCAGGGGAGGCAGAGAAAGTGGGAGTCTCCAACCGTTGGAGCTGCGCAACTTTAGGGGATGGACTCCGTCAGATAGCTGCACAGTCAGAAGTTGGTGAAGATGAAGCTGCACTTCTTGCCCAACTACAGGACAAAAAGGGGTACAACTTGTAAACCCAGTGGGAGCTCTCATTGTTCTTTATCTTTAAGGCGTGCAATTCTTTATCTTCTATGGGTTCTCATCTCCCATGGTCTTCCTGTTTAAGTTTTTGTGGGCAAAATATCCAGGACATCGATGACCAGATGAAGTACTTTCCTGTCGCACCTGGCGTGACAGCCCCAATCATGAACTATATGAAATTCATGGTCAACCTTTGGATTCACAAGCCCATCCCCAACTCCAGTACGGCCGATCTCCTGAGGCTGAGTCTGAGAAGGACTTAGAGACCTTGCCGGCACGGCGCTCGGAGTCATCTTGTCAAACCTTCCTATCAAAGTCAAGCCAAATCTTGGGGCTAGTTGGTCCATGATGATCCTTTAATAGGTGTATACGTGTATATACATATTATATTATATTATATTATATATATATAGTATATATCATACAACTGAGTACATTTCCAGTTGCAAGGCCACAGAAGATGAACTTGTTGCAGCTGGACGCCCCGTTGGGAAGACGGATGATGTTCCACAGGTGGCACTTAGATTGCGTTTACTCCCCAGTGAAGGATTTACTAACAGATCGACATGTTACCCGATGACCATAACTTCAAAGTAGCACTGATCAATAAGAAGAAATAGGTCAAGACAATATCGATTTTACCCACTTTGTTTTGTAAAATAGGGTGTTTGATTTCCAAACTGAAAGATGTATCCCAAGGTATCCTCGCCCCACTGGCTGTTCTTGATCACTGATCCGTGCTGCTTAGGAAGTATCTGAATCAGAAGTTGGTGACGTTGACACTGGTGCTACGCCCAAGCCGCAGCCAGAGACTCCCGGGGCATCTCCATCAACCCCCCTATCAACAGTTGAAGTGGGGCCTTCAAAAAGGAAGCCACCACCTGGGATGACAATCCGTCAGGCAACGGGTCTTAAAATTACATAAAATTACCACCCCAGTTTTATATATCTATATAGATATCATATATCATATTATATATTATATATATATCGTTTCTTAATGTATATGATGCCCATGCCCAAACGAAATAGTGAATTTAGTACCTAAGCCGTTTTGACACCACACTCGAATTATTTCCCATGTTGACTAGACCAAACTATACCCAAAAATTTTGTCCTTGCAGGTCAACTTGCGACGTGCTGCCAAAGCACGCATCTCTCGGATGGTTGCTAACAAAAGCAGACGCAAAGAGCTGTCTGTGCCTGACTACGTACGCAAAGAGTGGGAAGAGGGGAGCAAAAACAACATGGCAGACTTGTTACTCAGAGTGAACTTCGATAAGGACCCTTCAAACAGTTGTGCAATGTTATGGAATTAATCTTTGTGGGTTCCTCAGCATATCTGGTTTTCATTTTCACATTGTGAAATACATATATGTTATATCCGTGTAGTCTTGGGTTGTGACTTTGGAGGAAGCATTTTGCAATGAAATCCTCATCATTGTCAAGCGCAAGAAGACTTACCAAATGGTTGTGGACGAGGGATGGCATTCGGAGTCGGACATGAAAGAACTTGGTTGGAACACGTGATGATCTTAGCGCATCCTGTTCTGAGCTTCTGTGGACTTCATTCAAGTCTTTAACATGTGTTGTGCCAAAAATACGCTTTCGCACATTTGCCCCCAGTATGTCCTACAGTAACAACATTGCTTAGCTCCATCCCCTAAAACGAGGCAGAAGATCAATGGTGCAAAAGCCCATTGCCTGGCCTTGGGTGAGAGCCATACCAGGCCAGCCAACCAGTGCCACATAGAAGGGTCAGCTATTGTGCACCTGCAGCGCAGGAGAAACTCCTACGATGGTGAGATGGAGTACTTCATCGTCGTGAAGGAAACTGCCCGTTCTACAGAAGAGAGCTCATACGAGCATCAGCAGTCGAAGCGCATGAAGGCAGTTGACAGCAATACCAAATCAAATTGATTCCAACAGTATTCAGAGGTTCATTTTTGTACATCCTTTGCTATATGGAAAAAAAATATATATCGATCTATATATATAAATATATTAAACTTGTTATTTCTATACAGTATACAATTATGTTGTCCATCTGCTGCCTCACAGGCTGACACCGAACCGACCTCAGACCTTGGGACGAATTTTGATGGACTTGATGCTCGGGAGAAGAGGGATGCGGCTGTCAAAGAAAAACAACTTGACAAGCCCAGCATGAACAAGTTCGTTCAGGATGGGTCACCGGTTTTATATACTCTGAGTGGGTTCATCAATATGTATATTTACCATGATATATTTTGAGTAATTATATTGGTTGAAAAAACACTTCGATTGTCACATGACACCGGCCCTGCAAGACCAAAGCAACGTTGAGAACTTTCCTCACTAGCATGATGAGCAAGTCTGGAAAGCTTCGGTCTTTAGTGCGTGATCTGAAGAAGACCTACTCTGATTCGGCTACGTCTGCGTGCCTTATCAAAAAGTAAAAATAAGAGGGTTCGTTTTTCCTGATGTTTTTCCTCCCAGCCAATCTTCACCCTCGGCCTCATCTGGCTTCACAAGGTGCATCAAGACCTTGCAAGACCACATTTCGGAGGTTGACAAGCATTATGATGCTTGCAACGAGTCGTGGGCAAAGGGTGAGGTAGAAGATTTCAGCACAGAGAAGTTACTGGGACCAGAATGTATGTTCAAAAATTGCAGTGACAAGTGCTATTTTGGATGTCCCATGTGAAGTTATATATCTTGTACAAGGATGCACTCTACAGGTTGTTGTTCCAAATCCCAGGTGGTACACGGACGCCGAAGCAAAGATGAAACAAGCAACTTTTGCGTCCTTCACTTAGAATTGGTGAAAAAATGATGGTAAAGTGCAAATACTCTGACAGTTTCAAGTTATACCAAAATAGGTTTATCCCCAATGTGTTTTGGTGAAATCTGTGAGGTGCACAAAGGCCACGGCTGCAGAAAACAAAATCAGGACTACCACTATAAATACATGTTTCCATTTGACGTTTGCTGATGTTAATTATTGTTCTGCGGCGCCCCCCAATGGTTTTCCAAAGAATCCCAGCGCAGGAATGCCAAGAAGTACTATGACAAGAAGACCCCTGATGATGCTGAGCCCCCTAACCGTCCAAAGAAAGACAAAGGGGAGCATGAGAAGCCTTCTAAAAAGGACAAAAAGTCCAAAAAGGATAAGGGTAAGCACCCCAAGAAGTAGAAGTAGATTTTGCGATAAATGCCTGGGAATGCTGGAACCGAAGGTGTCCTAAACACCTAGATGCCTTGCAATCTGAATCACCCATCTAATTTGTATTGGGGGGATAAGAAACAACTTTACCACCCATTCTTTGTTTAGAGAACAGTCAACAGTCTATTTATATCATATCACCTCAAATCTTTCCATGTGATTGCAAGGACTGTGTGCGTGGCACGTTGGCCGGCATTGAAATTTGGGTTTTGGATTAGAATGACAACTTTTCACAGCGGATGACCGCCGTGCCTGATCCATGGATACTTTGGGGAAGAAAGAAAAAAAGGTGATTGCATAGAAATGTGTTTCCTTTCGAATCCCAAACTTCAAGATATGGAAGCTCCTTCCTATACCAAGTATTTGAGAATCTGTCCCATTATATAAAACCTTTGCCGCAAATTTCCTTCCCACTGCAGCCAGGTCGCAGGGCGGGGAAGGTCCTGCGCGGCATGAGCGCAGCAATTGGCGAAGGAGCCATGGCCTCAGCCAGGTCCAGCTATTTGAGATGAAAATGGGATGTATAGATTATATTATACTATATGGGAAATGAATAGGATATAGACGGGGTATAGATGGGCATCTAAAAACAAATATATGTAACAAATATAGTTGTAGGTCGATCAATACTTGCTACACACGCATATTTATAAAGATTAATTAGTTTTTGTGAATATGTGACTCTCATCTTAACCTATGACCCCACAATTTTGGACTCAAGATTCCACTCGAAAATGCACATGTACATATATGCATGAATGCTTCCAGCGCTGATGGCGAAACCCCAGACGATGAGTTGTTTGATCTATTGACCTGCCATCGCTCAGACCTTCGTGCTGGCTTGGAAAGGCACATTTTATATTTCTATATATATACTAGTTTTAAGTTTTTGGTTTCCCAAAATACCAACCCAAAATGGTTTTTGATCATTTCTCCCCAAATTTAACCATGAGAAAGGACAGCAACTTTCCATTTCCGTGGCGTAGACATCAGTTATCTTCATCCCCTTCTTCTTCCAGTACGGGTGGATCTCATGGACAGGATCACCAATTTTTGCGGACACCTATGGAGCCCCCGGAAGAAAATCGCAAAAGAAAATCTAACGATGTTTCGTTGGAAACCCAATCTCCAAGACTGAAGGAATTGTCCTCTGAGTGTCAGGCATTGGGGTGTATCCAACTGAGACTTTGTGACCTCAACAATGCGTCAGCTGGTCGAATTCTTTCCCATGCAATACGGATCACCGAAGCCCTTTTCAAAAAAGAAGAACCTCTTATTTTTAAGTTTGGATTTTCTCACAATCCAGTCTGGAGATGGACCAATAGCATATACGGCTACTGCCACTCAAGAGAGAAGTGGACCCACATGATCATCTTGCACTACTCACAAGAACCATTCACCACAGCTATGCTCGAAGCAGCCCTCATTGAGAAGTACCAGGGTGCCTTTGCAGAATCCATCATTTTCAACAGTTTTAACCGGTGTTTTTTGGGGAAGAGAAAAACAAAAAAATGAACCAACATATTTAGGATTTTCTGTTGAGACTTCATGCCAGTCAAGGTAGACCCGGATGTAAGAACATCAAGCCCGGCGGTGACACAGTGAAGCCTGATTTGGCTGAAGTAGATAGCCGTTACACTACATATATTGTGCACAGGTCTTTCCAAAAACCTCCGCCTATCAAAACAACAGCTACAAGAGGTTTGCTTCATGGAAGTTAATGTCTCACCCTCCTCCCATTCATGTCTAGCTTTTGGGACTGGCGCCAGCGGGGAAAATAACAGCGCTAAAAGAAACTTGATATATAGGGTCAAAGAGCTTTAGCCTATGATATATCTTTTATGTAGGCCTGCAAGTACCAACTCTACCACAACCTTTTCACACTCAGCCCTGTGAGTCTTTTTGTTTTCTTCAATCGGGCCAACCTCTTTGCCGAGGCCTCTTGCCGCTCAGCGATACGGACTGCCAAGGACATAGTGGCTGATTTCGGTGAGGCCGCTGCTTCAAAATCAGTTGGGGTTGTGGAGCTAGCAAAAAGGAAACTCGAAAATTCTGAAATGGATTGCCACCGCTTGATGGCCAAAAAGCACCGTTTATCGCTGCCAGTTGACAAAGACTATTTGGATACCAAAGCCAAGAACAAGTCCCTGAGGATCCCATTCCTGCGCTTTCGAAATTGGATGAAGTTTCTGCTAGAAAACAATTGCATGCACATCTTCAGCGGTTTGGTGAAACCAGACCGCAAGAGAGAAGGTGACATCTGGGAAGCTTTTTGGCAGAGATACGAGAAACAGCATCCTTCTCACCCAATTTATCAATTGGCACGTGATGGGAAGGTCAAACTGCGAAATTGTGTTGGAGTTCTTCTGCACGGAGACGAAGGGAGGTCACGAAAGCGACAAGCCTTCCTACTCCTCAACCTACATAGTCCCCTCGGAAGAGGCGTGGAAGTTGGTCTGCAGAGAGCAACAAAACGGGAATATTTGAAGATGCTGCCCAATTTTGTTGGCCATTCTTACACCAACCGTTTCTTGGTGAGTGCAATTCCGAAAGCTCAGTACACAGGTGAAAACAGTTTTGTTTTCGACCTTCTTCTGGACAAGGTGGCAGAAGAGTTGTGCCACATGTCCAGTGTTGGTGTGCAGCAAGATGGTGAGACCTACCATGCATTTTGCCTGGGAGTGGTCGGTGATTGGCCGTGGCTAGTGAAATCAGGAAACTTGCAGAGGTCTTTCATGAACGTGGAGAAGCACAAAGAGGAACACGGCGCGGGACAGCGACAGCGGCAGGACTGCCGTGGCATTTGCCACTTGTGCCAGGCAGGGCAACCAGGTTGGCCCTATGAGCAAATTGGGTCTAGGCATCCAACTTGGGAAGCTTCAATTTGCGCTGAATCCCCATTTGATGGGCAAAATCCCTTGGAAGCCATCCCACATCCTGTGGATGAGTTTCCATTCTTCTACCACTTTGACCTCTTCCATTGTTGGCACCTTGGCATGGCAAAGCACTACTTGGGCTCCATGCTAGCTTTATTGTCTGGCCTGGAAGATGGTGGCAACATTGACTTAAGATTCAATCAGCTCACGGACAAGTATTTGAGATGGTGTTCTGAAAACGGAAGGACTGCTCACTGCCTTCGCATCATGAAAGAGCATATCCAGTGGATCAGCACTTCACACTACCCTCAAGGCACATGGCATAAGGGAGATTTGTCTACCTCCCTTATGCTTTGGGTGGAAGCTAGGTACTTGTCTGAGAATTGGCAAGATGAAACTCTTGCACTGGCCGGCCAAGCTGCAGTTGCAATCAATGGGTGCATTCGCTTGCTCTACAGTGGCGGGGCATGGCTGTCACCAAATGAAGCTAGAGAATGTGGAGACCTTGGCCTCAGGTTTCTGAGGCGATACAACCGCCTTGCTTGCATGGCGTTCCAGGAGCAGAAACGATTTTGGCTGGTGATGCCGAAGGCACACGCCCTTCACCATATTTTTTTGGGGCTTGTGAAAGGATCCGAATTGGGTCCCACACTGTCACCTATAGTGACAAGCGTTCAGCAAGATGAAGATTTTATCGGCCGGGGTAGCCGATTAAGCAGACATGTAAGCCAAGCTCAATGCTCAGAGAGGGTGGTCGATAGGTACTTGCAGGCCACTTTTTCCCAATATATGCAATGTGGGCTCTTGGTTTCCATTAGAGAGGATTGAAGATGTCCTTCAAACCACATTTATAGCCACCAAACCACAAGAAAAGAAATCTGTTTTAAAATGTTGGGATGGTTTCCTTAGAGGCTTCAACCTAAGATCCCAAAGCCCATGGCCGAGCAGCTCGAACTTGGTGTCAACCACTTTGAGAAAGAAGTGGCATGGGCAGACATGGGCTGAGGGAAATTGGCAAAATTGGAAACCCCGGGTTCTCAGAAAAAACCTCGGTTTTTTTTGCACCCTGCGAATTCTTCAGGTATGGATTCTTAAGGTATATATATTATTATATATATATATATAATCCATTTGCTCTCTACTAGGTGAACTAACCCAACGGACAATGTAAGTCTCTGTGGCTGATTTCATATGCCCAAAGGATCCCAAGGGCTCATCCACCCAATTTCAAAAGGACTTCAGTGGGATGATCTTCCCCAATCGAAACACTGTGGGATGCATTGCAATGTGAAAACCCCAATCCCATACGATCCATGTATGGTGTATATATATATATATGCTAACATAAAGGGTGTATATTGATGGTAAATGTTACCATATATAGCATACATGGATCCTATGGGAATGACAAACCTGACAAACCATGGACCTATATTGACAGTGATAGGCAGAAAGGCTAGTGAACATACCCTCTGGTTATGACTAAACAGTTCGCTATCGAAAATCCACCCATTTTTCATAGGTAAACCATCTATTTCTATGTGCCATTTCCCATAGCAAGGTATGTTAGCTTACCAGAGGGTAACCCTCCTGAAATGGGACGGTCTAGCAGATTTGGCCGCGAAGCATCGCCTCAGATTCCGATGATCCAACTGAAGAAGAAAGTCGCGCAAAGCCTCACGGATCAGTGGTGAGCCACACGCATGTGAAAGTCAAGGGTCAGGATTCCAGGTAGGACGGGATCCTAAACACACGGGACCTAAGTCAATATAAGATCTTTATGTCAGCATATGTCAGCTCCAATGATCATAAAGCCTTCGGCTATCATCTAGTTTCATGGTTTGTTGTTTACCTGCACTCCATTGGTTGTGGGTTGTGTGGTAAATCCATCTAAGCCGACAAGCACTCGAACATCTGAGTGTGTGGCTATACACTCTGGTTATTTATATAGAACATGTTTTTTTTCGTTTTTTTTTTTGGATGATATATGATGATATATGGTGATTTTCCCATTTAAAATTGTGGTTTTCCACACCTACGTTGAACAGCCAGAGGGTAATCCATCCAGATCTGGTAGGTCAACTGTCTAGTGGCACTTCTGGAGGCTTGCGCCAGCCCCAGCTGGATTGTCATCCTTCTTCCCATTGAATTTGTCAATGGATTGCTTTAAGGGAAAATTTACAGGAAACCATAGAGTTTCCCATTAAATATGGGGCTTTCCTGTAAATTTTCCCTTAATCCAATCCATTGAATTTGCCATTTCTTTTTGACAAATAGATCCACATTGCTTCAACCATGGACCAAACATTTCACGAAATTGCAAGACATATCCCAGACTATGACAGTTTATCTCCATCCTATCCATCATCCAAGGTTGACCCAAATTGATCCAAATGCTTCAACCACCCAAAGGCTTGACCCCATGTCCAGTGACCGTCGCTCCGCGCCGCGCCGTGCCGTGCTTCCGTGGCTTCCGTGGCTTCGCTGCCAGGCTCAAGCCCACAAGAGGAGCCAAGCTGCAGCAACCTGGGACACCAGTGGGATGTCAAAATCTGAGGTTAAACACTATGTTAACACTATCATGTGGGAAAAAACAGTCATAAATTGGTCATGTTTGCCATCCCCCAGTCATTTTTGTGGTTTATGACATTGTTTTACCCACATGATAGTCATACTGTAGGGATCAAACCTAGCAGCTTGGGCTTGGAGGCTCTAATCTTTTAGCTCCGCAGGGCTCCCCATTTCTAGCTGCCCTAGCTCCGTAGCTTCCTTCGAAGCAAAGGAGAGTAACATGTCACATCACATCACGACTTTTAGTCCGTTACCATCATCACAAAAAAAAAAACTATGAGTGAGTTAATATTCATTACTATGAAAAAACTATGAATACCAATTAATTATCACATTATTAGTCGGTGGGTTAATTCATTATCAATCCAACTATTCATCACCAACTTATAACCAAAGTTGGGCAAGTTAACGGATTACACTTTGGACTAGATAGGTTAAACAGACTAGGCAGATTGGACAGACTAGATTAGATTAGATTGGGTTAGATTAGGTAAGATGGGGTTAGATGGGGTTAAATTGCGTTACATTTGTTTAGATTGGGTTTAGATTAGATTTTTTTTTTAGAGAACATGCATAACTTATATATATATATAACATGTAACGACAGACCGAAACTTTGAATGTTTGGCTGGTAGTGTTCAGCTTTTTGTTCCTTTTTTCCCTTTCATGTTTCATTCATCTTCCTCTAACTATCCATCCTCTTTCAATACAGGCACCTTGGCTCTGTCCATGGTGGGGCCCCCTGGTGCAAACAGGGTTGCTATTGTCTTTTCGCTGCAGCATTTGTTGCGCAACATGACCATAACTTCAACTACTCTGTACACTAGGCAACGCAATCTTATTAACGTGGTACACCTGAAGCATGCATGACTTGCAATAAATAACTTTCAAATGGTACGATAAATTTGGGGTATCGCTTGTTGCGAAGCTAACCATGTCAATCACAAGTTTGTATTGTTGTAAAACTCCATTCTGTTAGTGGTTGAAGTGGTTGAATCACTTAAACACCTTATTTTCATTATGTTATGTGGCTTCTTAAGTTGGGCTATCCGCATGAATTCCAGGGCCCCAAACCATGCAGCTTCAGCGCCCCCGCGTGGTGTCGCGCATGCGGCACGCGCGGCACGCCGCACAAGGGCACCGTGGCAGCGGTGGCTGGCACTGGAAGGATCATGGCGTGACGTCTGATGATGGTCTCAATCCATCCCAACGGACGGAATCTGACCCTGAAATGCTCATACAATATGCATATATTAATAATTATTAATATTAATATATACTGGTTGGTGGTATACCCCTCTGAAAAATGATGGAGTTCGTCAGTTGGGATGATGACATTCCCAATATATGGAGAAAAAAATGTTCCAGACCACCAACCACACACACATATATATACATAATTATACTATATTTTGTATGACAATAGTAAGGAACTAATGCCATGAGTTGTTCTATGTGCCATATAAGTCGTGTACAAAAAGGGGGGTCCTGGATTAAATCATCCATCAATAGAAACCCAGAGTCCTTTAAGTGGAGAATGGCTGGTGGCGATGTCAGCCTATCCCAGAAAGATAGTGGGGATCATCATCTGTGTGAAATGTGAAGCAAGTTGCCCAGCGCATGCTTGGGCTGGAAATGTCAGTGCGGCCCAACGGCATGGCAGAAACCGCTGGATAGCACTGTTCTTGTTAATTTTCGCTTTTCAATAGCAGTTGAATCTGAAACGCTGCCAATATTAGAATCCTTTTCCCGCTATTCATGAACACCCCTCGAAAGCCTGCTTGACTAATCTTGACTATATTCATTTTTGTGATTCATTTTCGCGGACAAAAAAAGACTCTATGAATCACAAACGGAATGGCATCACCCTAGAGGAACCAAGCTGATGGTCATTGGATGGTCATTGGATTAAGGGACAATTTTAACAGGAACTCCTTATACCCATGACCAAAATCCAATAAACAATGATGATTATTACCATTATATATCATGTTTATACAAATGATGATTAAAATTGATTAAACAAATGCCAAAAACCATGAAACCCCTGAGAATTCTCCAGCGAATCCAATCAGATGGTCCCCTGGCCCTAAATCATCGCATCATCAGTCTCCTCCAGCTACACGTCGGAGGCGATTCGCCATGGCGGTTCCAACATCCGCCGCAGTTCAAGGGTGGATCATCCATAACCATCCCCCAAATCCAGCATTTTATGGGTCGTATCAAGCTTCACCAAATGGTAGGTTTGTTGACCCAGTTGGGTTTACCACATGAACATTCTTTCCCCCCTAATGTGGACCCAGTCATGGGGAGTATGTTTACCGTATACCATTTTTGGGGCTAAGTTAACTTTGTGGGCTCGTCTTGCTACACAATATGTGTCCACAAAGTCACACTTGAATGGAAAAGGAAACGCCTCAAGTACATAAGTATATATTGCTTGCAGTTCAGTGAAAGCTTGAGGGCTTTTAGGGGAATATAATGGAATATAGCTATGAACTGGAGTGGCCACTTGATCTGTAATACCTTGGGTTTCGATTCAAACAAAGAACTGACAAGAAAGACAAAATATAGACCCAACAATCTTCCATGATCCTTAATGATGCTCCATGACAAATGTTCGAACATAAAGCCACCCACGACCAGTATGTGCACATGACACTCAGCTCATGCTTCCGCAAGTTTACAGTGAGTGAATGCTAAATCCACAGCATCCGGAGAAACAAACTTGTAATTCTACGATTTTCAAAATGCTGAGCTTAAAACAGCAACATACAGCGGCTCATATCCAACCCACCTGAAGGCAACAACGTAGACCTGCAGCCCTCCACAATTTGGAAGGCTTTTTGAAAATGAACATCCAATCCAACCGTTGCTGGGCCCATCTAGTTCAATGTCTAAACTAGAGGCTGCTTGTGTCTCTGGCCCATATTTGAATGTGCGGGAGGCACTTGGACGTGCATCTCAGGTATTCTCAGGTGCTAGGTTTGTTTAACCTGTAAGCAAACCTAGGATTCATGCCATTTATATAATCTTCGTGCTCACCAAATATATAAATCTGCACATGCTAGCTCAAGCGTGTGCACCTCCAACTGGATATATCAGCTATTTGAGCTTCACACACTTAATTAATATCCCATACTACCTATATATATATAAATTATATGATATATATATATATATCATATCCCATACTCATTATCTATCATCTAACTTCCATATGAACCTCAGTGATTTCGCCAAGCATAGGCTATGTCGGATGGTTCCACGGGATGCACAATCCATCGCACAATCGCTTTCCCAGGGCTCCCGTGCGTTCCATCCATCAAATACTGCAGCATCAAACCAGGTACTCCGGCCTCGCAGATTACCCTCAACGTTTAGAGTTTGCGAACTGGAAAATCATCAAGTTTGGAAATCTTGAAGTTGGGCAAGTCAACTTCTATGGGCCATTTTCGCTGTATGTTAAATTACCAGGGGGTGGCAATCACGTCATGGCGCGAGTGCTACAGAGATAGACTTTCTTTGGCGCTGAAACCAGGGTGATAGAAGGGTCTACATCTCCAGTCTTGGTTAATCGCAACGTGCTTGGACACCCTTTGATACCCCTTCCAATCAAAAAAAAAATGGAAAAAACGTGGTAAGACGAAGACTATACAGTACTAAGACTATACTCTTAGACACATTAATGACACAAAAAAAAAACCTCTCTGACCGTTCTGAACAGACCCCATGGCTTTAGCCACGCCACGCTGCGCTGATCCCATGGGCGCCTGCTCCAATTCCCAGGCCGTGCAGCGTTCCTCGTCCAAGCCGCCTTTCTCAGTCCTGGTTTAGATGGACCGGTCGTGACCGGTCAGAATCACGTGGTTAGACAATGTGATAAAATATGGCAATATTATGCATCATGAGTTTCTGGTTGAAAAACATGTTGAAAAACCACGTGACGGCAAATCTTAAGGTCGCCTGCAAATCGTCAACCAACAAATATGCTTAGAACAAATCACAGAATTGGATGGTGGGACATGTTACAGGAAAACCCACTTCCCTTGAAGGTAAAAACATGTAAAAACATGTAAAAAACATGTAAAAACATGTAAAAACCGTCCTTTCCTGTAGATTTTCCCTTGAGCCAATCCATTGAAATCAAGAAATCACAGTGAGGAATGCAGTGGTTGGAGCCTTTCATCCACATTTCGACCCAACATGTCAGCCATTTCCTGGTGCCGGGAAAATCTGCAGGAAACCCATGGGTTTTTTACGATTTTTTTACCATCAAATATAGAACACGTCAATTTTCCCATCATCCAATTCTGTGAAGATGGGAAAATTGACGTTTCCTATATTTGATGGGAAAGAATAATTAAAAATAGAAAAAAACCCATGGGAAATGGTGGTGGTGGTCCAGTTTCCTAGCCAGTTTGGTTGATGAACGATAGGAGTTGTGGCAGAAACTGTGTAGCGTTCCATAGCTAATGGCTGGTGAAACTAAACCAACACACATTTGGCTGGTGGGGGCACCACCTCATACCAATGTTCAGTGGCTAAATACCATCAAAGCCTTAGAAAATTTCAAGGCAAATCCCTATCAAATACCCATCCATGATATCAATCCAACGTAAAGTATTTTTTTCGACATCCCCCATTTTCAGACACACCTAAACCATATTAACTTCATTATGACATAGAAAATTCACGAAAATCCCCGAGTCCCCGCTCTGCGGCAAGGCGCTTCTTCAACAACTCCCGCAAGGCAAAGAGCCCATCGGCCGGGGCTAAACCTTGCTGAAACAGTGTAGTGTTCAGTTTGTTTGGACAAATGCTGAGATAAGTATCATGAATATAAAAATAGTGGAATATTATTCTATCTTCTATCTTTCTTATAGTGGAATATTCTTCTTATAATGCTGAGGTTTCCTGAAATGGCGGTATCCCAATAGCTGGATGGCTATGGAATTTCCATCTATAAATGGATGATTTAGGGGTGCCCCCATTTATGGAGACCTCCATATTCTTTTTTGGGTGTCCTCAAAAGCCCCAGACTTAGCCGAAATCAGTGGACAACTCCAACAGACATCCATAAATTTCAATCAGCTGCCCGAAACGCTGTTGGTTCCATTTTCCGAGTGGGTTGTTGTCAATCACATGCCGTTCCCAATCGCTTGAAATCTATGCAAATTTGCCGGAGTTTTGGGGACATCAGGCTGCAACATTGAGGATATATATATATATATATATATGTGTGTGTATATGTATGTAGCTGAAAATCGCAGGAGTAATCAGCCCTCAAGATCTATCCCTTCCATGTCACGGTGAAAGTGGCGCAGAGTTCAAAAGGTGTTGTTAGTTCTTTGGTTGAAATATGCTTTTCACGCATTCCATTGCCCAAAGTAGAAATTCGGATAATCATGGACAGTCATCACGAAAATGGGTGGTGTTTCTTCTTTGTCCTTTGCAACCAATGGATGCTCGGCACATGTGCTGACGCTATTTGGCCCCCCGGCGCCCCGGGGCGTCGTCTCCCGCAGCATGTAGAGCTTGGACCTTCAGGCGGTTTTACGGCGTCACTCATTGATATGGGGGTTTCTTCAAATGGGGGATCCCCAAAACCATGAGTTTCAATACTAAAATGAACATATTTTTGGATAATTTGGGGTACCCATATTTAAGGATATGATGATAGTATGATGATACAATGAACCAATGTTATATAGTATTATAATATCATGATATATGAATACATGCATATATATATATATATATGAAGTGTATGCCAAATCTGCTCTCATAGACCCTAAAAATGGAACATTAAACCTGAGAAAAGAGATCCTAAACATGATTTCACTATTGGATGTAGCCCTTTTGTGTCCTTTTGTCATGATATTGTGTTGTTAGTGTTCTTTGCTACGGATATAACATAGTGAGGCTGGGCCACTTAATATATATATAGAGTTATACCAAACGCTTTGTTCGCATTCAATCGGTTAATTGTGAGCAATCGGAATCCTAAAGATGTTTGACATGTCAAAGCATTGTACGCATGTCAAAGCATTTGGCGTGCTGCGATTCTGACCCACATTCATACTTGCAACATCTTGCAACGTGCTTGGCACTGGGCATTGAGCATATACGGTTTACTGAGGCTTACCAAGAAATGATCATGCACAATCATGCACCATGTTCGTTTCTTAAGGCCGTACA